GTGGAAGCAAGGGTGTAGTAAGGTAACATGGTGCAGTAGAAAGGACCTGGTCACCAAATCAGAAGAGCTGGGCAGGAGTGCTGGTTCACACATTAGTTGTGTGACCCTGGGCAAATCATAACCTCTCAGAACCTGTTTCCTTATCTCCAAAATGGGGATAATATTTGAACCATAGCTCTCCAGGACTGTTATGAGGAAAATGCTTTGTAGTCTTTAAAGGTGAACTTTGAGGATTATGAGGATGGTGTAAGAGAGAAGAGGCATTACTGTGTCTAGTGAGGCAGAGAGAAGGACCAGTGACATAAAAGCAGAAAATGTTAAGCAGGCCCAGAAGGAGAAGCTTGCTATAGGCTGGAAGAAGCCCTGTCCATCTCCTAGCCTCATCCTCTTGTTCCACCACCATGGTCCTGAGCTTGTTTCCCCTAGAGATGGCTCTGCAGAGATACAGGGATGGAGGCACAAACGGAGGAAGCAAAAGTGAGAGACAGGGAGAAAGAGAAGCAAGGAGAGGCAGTGGGGAAGACAAAGGCTGGGCAAGCTGCCTGCATGGGGGAGGGGGGGCCTCCTGTGCTGTTGCTGGAGATGCCTAAGACATGCAGGCAGTCGGAAGATTCTCACTTGGCAAAATCCATTTCCTCTCCAGTGAGTAGTGCAGAGGCCACACCCCACCTGCCCAATCTGTGCCACCAAACCCTTCCCAGAAAAGGATGCCACCTCCTGGTAGCCACTGGCATGGCACATAGCCCCCCACGGGTACTCCCCTGCACCCACACAGATGCTCAGAGGAGCCTTCGTGGAGTGGAAAGCTGTACGTCTTCTTTCTTGACATTTGGAATACCTGCTTCAATAAAGCAGCTACCAAGTACCCACTCTAGGCCAGGCATGTCTGGCGCTGCGGATACAAAGAAAAAATTCCCAAAGTCCCTGCCTTCAAACAGCTTCTAGTTTGCATTCGGCCAGGATGTCCGCGGCCAGTCAGGGCCCTTTCTGGTATTATCCTGGCATTTTTCTCCTTTACTGACTGCAGCTTTCCTTCGTCCTCATCCTCACTTCCCTCCTTATATCATACTTACCTGCACCCATGCCCTCCACTGCCCAGTCCCACTTCTTATTACAGAAGGTAAGTGCCTGGGTACACAGCCGACACTTAAGACACGCTTGTCGAATCTGGGAAGCACCAACCACATGCCGAGGATTCAAGTAACGCGCTCTTTCCCAAGGGTGGCGAGGATGGTGGAGGGTAGGCCAAAGCTGTAGTTGCCTTGGCTGAGCAGAAGGACAGATGGTCCTTTTCCTCTCTCTACCCATTACTTCTTGCATATCCCCCTTTTCTAGATACTTTTTGTGGTGCTCCACACAAGTGGGCTGTGCATACTGGCTGAAAATGGAATCACTTCTTTGTCCATCTACGCTGGAGCAAGGGAGCCTGCTGCAATGCTTGAAGGAGGGCTGGACTTGCAGTCTGAGCTCAGGCTTGTTTTGGAATTCATCACTACTACCTCTGTGTCCTTGAGCAACCCACTGCCTGCTCTGGGCCTGTTGCCTCATCTGTGAGGGTTCCATACAAGCATCTGTCCCGAGCCTATGGGAGCCTGTGCAAAGGGAGCTTCCACCAGGCTCCCTGGCTCCTGGCACGGCACAGCAGTGAGGGATCCTCAAGGTTATCGGTCCTCTGGATCATGCTAAATTCTCATGTATCTGAGAGCAATTCTCTACTATTGTGGCCTGTTATAATTTCTGCTCTGTCCTGTGTCCTCATTTTCCTCCTCAATAAAGTGAGAGGGCTGGACAAAACGATGAACTGGAACAATCCCTGCATTAAGGTGACCTGGACTCAGCTCTGACACAGGCACTGACTCATGGTGCATATGGCCCCTTGGGCGCTCCCTCCCCCAAGTGGCCTGAAGGCTGCTGCTCAGACTCTCTGGGCGCCCTTCTACTCCCCCAGATGCCTTGGAATTGCCTCAAACTCAGTGCATTCTCTTCCCCCGGAATCTGCCTTTCCTCCCAACTTGGCCATTTCTGCCTAGGCCACCATCACCGCTGCCAGTCACACAGGCCCCAGACTTCACAATCATTCACTGCAGGGTGGTGGAAAGAGCCCTGGGGAAGTCACTTAAACCCTCTTGACACTTCTGGGAAATGGAGTGCAGCACACATGTGGTGAGAAACGCACCTAGCCTTAAAGCCCTATCTTTTTATTTTAGATGTCCCTCTTTCACAGCAGACGCCTCCTTGCCCGCCTCATTCCCTGCCACTCCTCCTGCTGCCATCCGAGCCACCGTCCCCATGACTCGCCATGTGTGATGGGCTCCTGATTTCCTAGCTGTTTTCTCTGCTGCTGGAGCATCCTGCACATACTGCCAGAGAAGTACTTCTTCCTAAGGCACAGGTTTGATCACATGACTTCCCTACTTTAAAAGCCTTCTGTGGGTTCCCCTGGGCTCGATGAATAAAATACAAATTCTTTAACAAAGCCTGGCATGTAGGCCTACTAAAACTTAGCTCAAACCTATCCCTCTAGCCTTATTCAAATAATCAACAATATCCTGGGGACACAAAAACAAAAGTAAAACCTTCCCTTCCCCCAAGAGACTTAGATTCTAATTAGGGAGACACCAAATACTGTATGTAAAATATATGCAAAATAAATTGAAGGTTAAGTCGAGGGGGGAAGGTACTAGCAAGCCGGAAAACTTCCCGCAGAAGTTGCCATGTGAAGCAAGTCTTGAAGGAAACCAGAGATTTTACGGGGCAGAGGGGAGAACATTCCAAGCCTGGTCACAGCCTGGGCAACAGCACAAAGACAGGAGAGGAAGCATCACAAATAAGAACAGCAACCTTATTATTCATCTTCCTGTACTCATTGTCCCAGACCAATCAGACTACTTATTGTTTCCTGATTTCATTCCCATTACTATTCCTTTGCTTTTGTGCATGTTACTTTTTGTGGCTAAAATGATCTCTCCCAAGAGAGACTGACTTCTGTAGGCTCAGCCCACTGTCTCAGAGCTGGAAAGGACCTCAGATGCCCATCCCTCAGTGAGCCCCACACCTCCATGAGAACCCCATCTTCAGTTTCTCCAATAAATGGTCACCAGACTTCACTAGCAGACCGTTGGTGAGGGTCTCACTTCTAGGTAACCCTACTTGGGGGTCTTTATGTCAAATCAGAATCTACCTCCTTTTTGCCCCTTTTCCCTGTGTGCTTCCTATTCTGTATTCTGTGAGGTCTTACAGTGAGGAAAATTAATATTATTTAATAACCAATATTTTTCTGTGATCCATCCTTTTCCTCATTTTGACAGACCCCACTTCTGAAGGTCTGACAGTTTCTGAAGGGCATGATTGTGATCAAGCAAAGCTGTCACTCCCAGCCCCCCAATACATCTTTTTTTTTTTTCTTTCTAGTGAGGTAATCAGGGTTAACTGACTTGCCCAGGCTCACACAGCTAGTAAGTATCAAGTGTCTGAGGCCGGATTTGAACTCAGGTCCTCCTGATTTCAAGGCTGGAGCTCTATCCACTGTGGCACTTAGCTGCCCCAATATATCTTGTTAACCAGCTGGATCTATGCCCTCCACAGTGGATGAATCGAGTCCCTGCTTTTCCTAATCAAAGTTAGGGGTGACCTGGTCTATGTGGGGGACACCAAACCAGAAAAGACCTAATAGAGATGACTTGTTTTTCTAGCCAGAAATCACACCTTGTGGTCTCCCCATCCCCACCCCAGTATGAATAGGGAGGAGCTGAGAACTATTAACCTACCTCCTCATTAATACACCCACTAATCAGGATTGCCTTGCCTTTGCCAGGAGAGGTCCAAATCAGGCCAATTAGAAGGAAGATACACCTGGGTTTAAAAAGCCTTTCCGGGCCTCACTCTGGATCTTTGGCACAAATAGAGGCTAGCCACTGACCTTTTTATTATCAGGCTGTATGTCTCTGATAATAAATGATATCCTGCTCAGAGAACTGCCTCCATTTACCTACTTGTTAAATTTCATTCATGACAACAGCACATTTAATTCCTTCTCCATGAAACTTTTCTTCAGATACTTGACTTGGTGATAGTTATCATCCCCCCAAAGTGGTGAAGATGCTGCCGAACTGGGAAGCCACACAACTAACCACCTCCAATACTCCAGACACCATGCCTTCCTTGATGAGACCTGAGCTCCCCTAAGCCTCTCTGCCTCCTGTATCACATCCACTCCAAGGTCGCCTGCAGTTCACCAAACCCAGGTCATTCTTATACTGCTCAGGTACCCCACCCATCCCCCTCCCTCCTCCAAGAAGGCTTCACTGATTTCCTTGGTTCTGGTATCTCCCCGCCCTGGAGACTTGCATCTCAAGGGTGCAGCCCTCTAACATGCACTTAAAATACTGGTCTATCTCTCTGTAGGCTCCTTGATGTCAAAACAGTTATCTCTGTATTTCTTCTAGTGCCCTGCACACAACAGTGGCTTAAATAAATGTTCATTGAATTAAACTTAAAGGTTTGGCCTACACAGCATTTTTCCCGAGCCATGAATTGCTTATTCCATCTTCCGAACTCCTCAGTATCCCAAGAGGCCAAACTGATTCCTGCCCATCTTGAACTACAACTCAAAAGGAGTCCTCTTGCAATGTAGGAAGTCCCCTTCTAATCCACTGATCCCTGTGATGTGGTCGAGCTTATTTAAAATTAAGTGGGGATTTTTACCTTTAAAAAGGCAGTGGGTCTATGAGTGACCATGTCTCTCTCTGCTCCATGCTGAACAAGAGAATTTTGCATAAAGTAGTTTGAATCTGAACAGCTAACGGCAGGGTTCCATTATCCCGAAGCAACGTGCCCAGCCTGTGCTGAGAGGGCTGAGCAGCGGAGAAGCCATCATTGGCCCCAGGTGTTGTAATATAGAATGAAGCACCTCCTCCTTCAGCTGGGCTCCTGAAATGGACAGAATGAAAGCAGAGGGAAAACATTAGGTTTGCTCCACATACAGAAGGAAACACCACGTGTGCATCTCTCACAACAGTTTTATTACCATCAAGGTATAGGCCAGGAGGCTTTGCTGGACAGTGCCCACCTCATCAGAGAGGAACAAAATACAGAAAGTCCCAAAATTTCTGCTTTGAATACAACACACATGCAACAACAACAACAAAAAAAAACCACTTGCCCAGAACTCATAATTCTTTTAATAATTACCTGGACAAGAAAATCTATCATCACCCAAACACATTTTTGAGGCTCTGTATACATATATCCCATAGATTTTAAAAAACTGCTGTAGATCAATCATGTGCATATACCAGACAAACACACACACACTCGCACCCATGAATGGCAAAATATTGTCCTGACCTCAGGTTATTTGTCCTGTGACTGTGAAATGAGGAAACTGACATGGTATCAACAAATCAGAGGCACTTTTTAGGGGGAAAATGTTTTGGACACCCAAGTGGTAGACTCTGGGTTCTTCTAGCTGCTTTCCCTTCAATTCAAGGGAAAAGCAAGCTGTCTGAGGCTATGAGACAGCTAGGAGACTTGGAGGAAATCAGATCTTCAGAGAACTTCAATCATCTACCAGAAACTGCTTTTCATTTCAGGCTGGAGGCATCTTATAGAAGCACTCAGGAAGCTGGAGAAGGAATGCTAGGGGCAGTCAAGATGCCCCTGGCCCCTGGTGCAGTATCTAGAGTTAAAAAATGGAAATAGAAAAACCAAACCAAAAAATGGAAACAAAAAACCAAACCAGTCCCCCAATCCTGTGGTTGATGCCCCACATGCAGAGCGCAGTATATTCTGGGTTGCTGTTAACAACAGAATCTCTTGTAATTAAAAGGGAATGTTATCCCTGCCGACTATGGGAGCCCAAAATCACAGGCATCACAGCATTCAGAATGTATTCGTGCTGGAGTCTGCTCCTGACCCCAAATAACCTGACTTGAAGGCACTTTTCCATCAGCAAACTGATAATGGGGTCCAGTAAATCTAGCCTGTTCAGCTGATTGGACCGAGGGGGGTCGGTGTAAGACCATTCTCCTCAGGGTCCAGGAGGAGGTTCTTATTAATGGCTCTTTGGGGGGAAAATAAGTCCATCCTCTAGATCAATTACTATAAAGGTGGCCAAGTGCTGAGACTTTCCCCACTCCCCTCAATGGTTCATTCCTCTCTATTCTATCCAATTTATTCCATACTAAAATTAGATCCTAGAATAGTAAGAGATACAAGCTTAATTAAAAACCTATTACCTTTATTGAATGGCAAAACTCCACTATCTTAACCTTTGGCTTCAGTTTGTTTCCACCACCACACTGCCTCAAAAACGTGCCTAATTGGTCCCAGGAGGTGGGGGTGCTGCTCAAGGGGTGGGGGGACAGCTTTGTACAAACCATTCTCACACCAAGCATACACCCTTGGTGGGCAGGGCTGCAGCAGCTTTCTCTCCATGATGAAGGTCAGTACATGTTAACCTATTTTACATCCTTCAGCTCCAGCTGGGGGACCTACATAGCTAATAAGAATTTCCACCTTCATCAGGAATCTTCATTTGCAGCACCAAAATGGGAACAGATCAGTACATCCTGGGATGGGAAACACTTCCTAACCATGGGGGAGCAGGTGATGGGGACTGAAACATTAACCCAGCCCAAATGGCAAAAAGTCGCGTTTAATTTACAATGTAGTCAAGGTTACAGGTAAAAAGCTACACAGAAAGTGTGGAAAAAAGTCTATTTCACAAATGTACAAACCTCTGTCCAATGCTCACATTGATGTTCCTACCTTTGCCTCCTGTGTGTGTAGGTCAAGCTCTGAGCTACCAAAGACTCACATTCACAGGGAGGGGAAGGCTGCTGAATCTAGCCATAAAGTCATCCTCTTCGCAAGAGACGGTCAGCCACTTGCCAAACAAAATCATTCAATGTTCAATTTAAACTACCCTCAAATTGGCCATAACCTTTTAAAAAAAATCATCCTTGTAACATATTTTGAGAGGAGAAATAAAGCCTTGAGAAAACAGTACCGTGGAATCAAATAAGAAACATTTGCAAATGGAGTGCTGATGTTTTATAAGAAAATACAGGTAAAATTAAAACCACATTGTAACCCCAAACTACAGACCTGTATCTAACCATTCTCATCCCAACAGCAAGGACAGAAAGGAAAAGGCCTAACTAGGACCTTAACTTGTTGACTCGGGGAAAAGCTTTAAGTTTAAACCTAAATAAGGTTCCCATGAAGAACTTTAGAACTCTCTTCTGACCAGTCTATAATCCATGAGACCCCCTACTGTCACAGGGGAAATTCATTAAAATCAAAACTATGTGGGTATTTCAAGTACAGCAAATACAAATCAGGTCACATGACCTACATCATCAGGAACACCAGCAGCTTTCCTGCCATACAGCCATCCAACTCATCTTGAATTTTTGGAGACGAAGGCCTGGTGTTCATTACAAATGATATACGTATATATATAACTTCAAATAAAAAAAATGATCCTAAAAGGGAGGTCAAAGGGACTAGAGAAAAGGTGGCTAGGCAGTTTAGCTCAAAGGATGCATGAAATAATTTCTATACATAGAAAGTGTTCTGAAGACAGATCTTTAACGGGATATTTCAACCCCAGCCCCAGCCCCAGTCTTAAAATTACATGGTTAGGACACCAAGAGACATTCTGAAAGACGATACTGCACACATGGAAAGTTTTTTTTTCCTCAGTTCATTAGCCCCCCAAACCACCCTTCCACCCAGTTTCCACCCCACCCCAGGACCAAAAATATCAAATCAATAAGGAGGGTGTGGGCTTCTTGCCAGGCCAAGCTTCCTTTGCATATTTCTTCTTCTTGGGCTCGTTTACAGCTTCAGGATTGTAGACCGCAGGGTTTGGTGCAGGGTTCATATTCACTGCTGATGGCACCACAGGGGTCAAGTCCACCTCAGGAGCAAGGTTTGGGTAGGGCATGGGCAGGCCGCCAATGAGCGCAGTCCCATGGATGCCATGGGACTGAGAGCCTGCCTCACTGTGGGTAGGGGGCAGACCCCCATACAATCCTCCGCTGAATGGAAAGTTCTGCATGCGCCTGCTTACTGACTCCTCCAAACTGAGGGAGCCAGGGCCCTCGACACGTTTCTTCTGGGATTTGCAAAGAAAGAGAGTAAAAAAGAAAGAAAAGAGAAAAGTGAAGCAAAATAATGGATGGACCCCTTGCCTTAAATCAAATTCTATGATAACCCTGAAGGTAAGGACAATTCCCCAGCTTCCTGCATCTACCTGTACTGTTGTCTTAGACTCACAGACTCAGAAGGACCTTAAAGGTCAATCAGTCTAAGCACCCAAATAATAGAGATGGAAGAGGCCAAGAAATAAAAGGAAACACTGAACCCTCCTGGAAATAAAATGTTAAACAGACCCATCACTGGAATGCCTTTTTTGTATCCATATCCACAACGGACAGCACACCAAGCTGGCTGTTGGAAGATGCCTCATGAGCACTATGCAGCCCAGGCAGATATAAACCAAGCAATTATCAGGAGACTGGAAAACTGAGACTGACAGAAAGAATCCCAAGAACCCAATGTAATAATTAACTATGCACTCAAACTCCACTTACACGAGGAAAGGGTGTTTAACAAGACCACACCCACAGCTAATGGCACACTACATATACTGCAACCACATACCTTCACTGGGACCACTGCAGTCTGTACCATGTTTCTGAATCTGCCAACAGAAGGATCCACGTCCTCTGCAAAGGGGAGTGAGAACAAGGTGAGTCTGATGCTTAAGTGGGAAGAAGGCAGACAAACCTTCCATAAAGTTCTTCCTGTGGCACTAACCGTCCCTCTGCAACACTATGTTTTTGTACAACTAATCTATGATATTAGAGGCATATGCCACAAGAACAGGGCTACTCAAAGCCTAGCCCAGCATCTGCCACCCAAGTCAATGTTTTGCCACACTTTGCCAACAGACCTGAACTCTCTAAGGGTTCAATTAACTACACTGTGCAGCAGACTGGGGTAACTAACTCCAGCTCTGCAGCTTGTGAACACATTTTACTAAGTCACAATCATGCTCCTGGACTCTCCTATACTCAGCAGGAGACAGATCAGCTAAAATGACTAAGAATACTAACAGTGTGAAGAAGGGCAGCACAGGTAATGCCTTGCCTATACAAACAATGCATCCCTGAAAAAAATGGTCCATAAAATGAATTTCTAAAACCAAAATCCTTTTTTTATAGGCAATTGGGGTTAAATGACTTGCCCAGGGTCACACAGCTAGTAAGTGTCAAGGGTTTGGTCCGAGGCCAGATGTGAACTCAGGTCTTCCTGACTTCAGGGTGGTGCTGTACCCACTGCGCCACCTAGCTGCCCCCCCAATCCTATTTTAAAACAATCCTGCATTGAACCCATTTGCAATATAGGGAATCCCTCTGTTATGTAAATAGAGCGCTAGACTTGGAATTAGGAGACTGGAGTTGGGATCCCTTTTCTGCCACTTGTTAACTACCAACTTAGTCATAAAATAATTAACATTTATAGAGCACTTTATTTATTTATTTATTTTTTGGGCAATTGGGGTTAAGTGACTTGCCCACGGTCAGACAGCTAGCAAGTGTCAAGTGTTTGGTCTGAGGCCGGATTTGAACTCAGGTCCTCCTGACTTCAGGGCTGGTGCTACATCCACTGTGCCACCTAGCTGCCCCTATAGAGTACTTTATATATAGTCTATCTCATCTGACCCTCTCAAAAGCACTTTGCAGCAGGGAGTACAAATTTTATCATTCCCACTTTACAGATAAGGAAACCGAAGCTCAGAGATGAAGACCCTAAGGTTAACAAGGAGCAGAGCCAAGATTTGAACCCAGGTCTCTAACTCCAATCCCAGCTTTCTCTCCACCAAAGAGAACTTTTGCTTGGTTCTCTGAAAGGACAAGCTTCTTCTCCTCAGGGAACCAGCAAGAATACGCGCTCACCTGGATTGATGATCTCATCATCTTCACTGAACGTTACCCTAGAGTTCTTCCGTTTCCGCTTTGGTCTCTGGATGTCCAAATTCCCTTCCTCAATGGTGAGAGTGGAAATCCGTTTGTTATGGGCTGTGTTGAACTCTGTCAAGTTCTAAGGATGGGTTCACAGAGGAGACAGGGAGTCAGTGTACCTACAGATAAAGGTTTCAGGGCAGGGCAACAAGATAAGAGTATCAGGACTAGGAGAGCCTTTGAAAATTCATCTTGTCCTTTCTAGATAGGCAGGGATCTAGGCTGTTGTTAAAAGTCTCAATTTCCTTTGTTCACATGTTCACATACCTAATGATCCTTATTTGTCAGGATCTGGGAACTCCTCTGTGATTAGTGGAACAAAGATCAAAAAAATGAAGTGAGAAAGCAGGGGCAAATATTACTTGGGCTGAATTATTTGCCTGAAGAAAGGTAATTAAGTTAGTCTTTTATGTGTATCATGATGACAGGCAAAGGGAGGTAGCTGGGCGCAGTGAGACTGGGGGAGCTCCAAAGAACTTGGTTTTAAGCAAAAAGGAAAAGCTGCAGGAGCCCCTTCTCCTGTGACCACTAACTTCTGGCATTAAGATTTTGCTCTCCTTGTCTGCTGCCCATTCTATTCATACCTATGGATCCATCTATCTCAATAACTGACTTTGTCTTCAGCACAGTTACTTGCTTTATCTTCTGCTGGACTTACTCCAATCTGCAATGCAGCCCTGGATGCTCCAATTTCTGGAGACCAGTCCTTGGAGGCTGCTTAGCTGTACAGTGTTTCCCTAGCATTTCACTAAGAGTTGGAGAGGAGGATGGGGAGAAGGCAGGAGGGCAAACAGGAGACAGTAATAGCCAAAGGAGCATCTGGCTGCGGAATTATCAAGCCCCAACCCCTCGTTCTACAGAGAAGAAAACAGGCCCAGAGTGCCAAAGCTGGACTAATAATCCATGTCTCCTGGCTCCCGGGGTTCTTTCCACTACACCAATTTCTCATTTTGGCAACACAAAAATGATACGCTTTCTCTCATTTGCCATATTTACACATACATGTGTCTAAAATAATCACATATACATGCATCTATGACACATGGGAACTGCCTAAAATCATATGCACATATGCTGTAAAACCCAATTCCTACAGAGCAAATGAGAGGAAAGGGTTTAATTTTAATCTTGTGAGTTTGTGCCGAGGAAACGAAAAACTGGTGTCATGAAAAGAATGCTGGGAGTCAGGAGACTGGCTTGAGTTTTGCTCCAGATTTGCTATGGATCTATGCAGCTATGGCTCTGGGCAATTATCTCTGTCTGTGAATGTGTACAAATGTATGTATACATACACACACATGACTCCACCTGCACTATCAGCCCATGTATAGACTCAGAGCTTTAAAAACAACATGAAATTTATTGTAGAAAAAGAAAAAAACCTTTGAGGTCAAAAACAATCAGTTTTCAAAAGTTATCCTAGCAATTCTTCAGGGGTCACTGTGGGCTGACTCAGCAGTTTAAAAAAATTAATGTAGGGCATCATGGAGGATATGGACGACTGGAAAAGCAGCAGCCAGTCATGGACTGAAAAGGAAGCATAAGCAAAGGGAGAGTCCAGAGAGCCACATTGGTACCCATTAGAGGAAGGGCTCCAGTGTTGGGGTGTATTCTCCATAGGGGATTCCTAAAGCAATACAGAATAAAAACACACGAGGTGGGAAGTCCTACAGGGGGCTACAATAACTGTGGTGTAAGGAGCACCCACACAAATAAGATCACAGATCCAGCCAAGTATCAGAGGAATATAAGTTAAATTAAAAATGTAAAACTGACTGAATTAAAAGTTTTATGAACAAGATGACTTTTCATTTGTTAGCTCTAATCAAATCAGTCCTGAACATGAGAAATTGTAAGTTTGAGTTTTAAAAAGCAAAGGATCAAATACATTTGTGCATATTTCAGGGTGATAATTATGTGACTGTCTAAAGCAGAAAGTTAACCTGCTTCCATTTTAAAAAGTAACCCAAGGTGGTCAGCAGTAAGGTGCCATAGCATAGAGTGCTGAACCTGAACTCAGGAAGACCTGGGTTCCAATCCCTGCTCAGATACTCAGGAGCTATCTCCTCAGATACTCAGAACCACCTGTAGCCTCAGTTTCCCCAACTGCAAAATGTGAAAAATAATACCTATAGTACCTACCTCACAGGGTTGCTGTGAGGTCCATACAAAAAAAGCATGTAAACGTTCTTTGCAAACTTTAAAGTGTTCTATAAAATGTCAGTTCATATTAAGGTGCATCAGCAGCAGACCCACGGGAAGCAGCTTCCAGGAAAGGCAGACTGTACCGCTCTAGAAATGGCTTCCTCCTGTGGGCAGCAAGGCCCAGAAAACCAGAGTAAGTCCTGTGTTAACATTCTGAGAGTTTCTAAACTTTGTGGTCTACTCAAAGGAACAGCTTAATAAATAGGATAAAGCTTCTATTCTCTCTTTAAGAAGTCAGCTACAGGAGAGGGACGAACACCTGTAACTCACAGCCTACAATGTGGTCCATGAGCCCATGAGGGTGACAAAGCAAGGGAGATGAGATGTCATGAGACAGATGAGCTTAGCCCCCCTCACCAAATAATCTCCCCATTTCCAGGTGTGATGAAGTAAGCCTGCATCACAATGCCCACTCAGCAACAATGCTGATGTACCTCTGGGACTCTGAGGCTCTCTTTGCTGCTGATTCTTTTGTTCTCCCAAGTGGAGAACTACAAATTACAAGAATGGAGGATGTCTCTGCATTATTTACATTCCACACACTAGTCCAAAATATCAAAACAAGACCACAAAATTACATCAAGCTCAGTCTCCTCTTCTGGGAGGCCCAGTAGGCCCTTGAGTTCATCATCCTCTCCACCCATCTTCTCATCTCCTTTCACAGCTGATGGCAATGTCTGAGGCTTCTCACGAAGAGTGTATGCCCGGGTAGAAGCACCAAATGAGACTGTGGAGTCGATGGGGATCTGCTGTGGCTTGTGAGGTTCCAATCGAATGTGACCCAAGAATGTGCCGTGTGCTGGGAAAGATCAGAAAGGTAGGAGTGAGAAATGAGACACTCTGTGGTGTCCCTGAATTTGGAGGGGGGAGAAGATTCTCTACAACCTTCCAGTCCCAAACCACAGTAACCTCCCAGCTCACTAACACCCTGAAGTTTATCCTAATATAGTTTGACAGTAAGAGAACACTCATACACATTCTCTCATTTGAGCCTCACAACAGGCCATGAGGTGAGCAACATAAGTATTCTTATTCTCATGTTATAGATAACAAAACTGAGGTTGAGAGAGACTAAGTAACTAGCCCAAGGTCACAAAGCCAGGAACAATCAGAGCTGGATTTCAAGACCCTAGGTCTCCTGGCCTCTCCCCAACACATCAAGCAACCAGCTCAAGAGACAATTTGCTTATAAGCAATGACTGTATATATGTAGGATTTCTTATATTGCAATCAGGTTTCTCTGGTCAGAAAATTCACGCATTCACTCACACAATCCTGGACACCCCCTTCTTCTGCCTTTTAAAAACCTGGTTCCCTTTCCTGAACTTTGAACGTTTCCAGCTCATTCCCTACAAAGATTCAAATTCAACTGCCCTGGCATTCTGAATGCTACTCTGCTGCCAGGTCACCCTGGTCCAGTCTAAGGTGAAGCAGAAATGTCTCAGTTTCTACCAACTATCACAATGTGTACCGATGCAATGGTTATGAACTGGGCAGCTGAGACCTGTAAACCTGAGTTTCTCTAAGACAGAAAAAGACCTGGCTAAAAGAATGAGTGTTTCAGGACCACCCTGATCCCCTTCCAAGATTTTTCCACTTGAGCTCACCAAAATGAGGATCTGAGACTAACATATATATGAATGAAGAGGGGATTGTGGGAGATGAGGCTCTCCTAAGGCAATGCCAGTGCCATCATATGTCACTCACGGAGAACCAAAGGGGCTGAATAGCCATGAAGCAAGACCTCATGTAATGAACACATGTGGGAAATGAACAAGCTGAAACTTCAGATTCACTGAAGTGATTCTCAAGCTGTATATAAATTATTTGTGGTCAAGTTTTTAATCCAATTTTGGTTTCCAATGGTCACTCAGCATATGTTAAGGCTACCTCTTTTGCTATTAGTTGTCATCTTCTCTGGGCACAAATGAAAATTGTCAGTGATTCACGGAGGCAGCTAAGTGGCTCAATGAATAGAGTGCCAGGCAAGGAGTCAGGAAGACTTGAGTTCAAATTTGACCCCAGGTACTTATAGCTGTGTGACTCTGGGCAAGTCACTTAATCTGTTTGCCTCAGTTTCTTCATCTGTAAAATGGAGATTATAATAGTACTTACTACCCCCTGCAAGGGCTGTTGTGAAGAAAAGATGAAATAACAATTGCAAGGCGCTTAGCACAGTGCTCAGCACATAGGCGCTATATAAATGTTAGCTATTATCGGTCCAAGTAAGCCAACATTCCTAAAGTGAGATCTCTTTAAAAGTATAGTATGAAGGGGGAGAAATGTGTGTGTAAGAGAAATGTCTACATACAGAGTGTACAATACACATGATGGTGGGGAGCGAGGAGGTAGGGGAGAGGAAGAGGAGGAGAGAGCGAGGGAGGGAGACAGGGATGACAGAGAGAGAGAGATTGATGTTGAAAGCTAACACCACAATTGATTATACTCAAGTTTTACACAAGCCAGATTCTGGGATAAAAGTGTAGCACTTATTCAGATTAGTCACAAAGCAATTTTAATATCAGCCAAAGTAAAACAATCAGGATGATGAATTTTCTGCAATAAAAAAATTCAAATTACTTTCCAAGTCAAATAATCCCACACTTACTTTCAAAACTGTTCCCTCTCTCCACTAGTACAGTTAATACTGGCATACTCTGCACAATATTGTGACCTGTCCACTGTTATTTTACAGTAATATCATTACTATACTACAACCAGATCCCACTGCTTTGTCTTTTGGCTGATCACCTCAGGACAGCAGTGACAAACTGAATTAGAGCTCAAGTCCTCCTTGGCATTAAATTCTTTGAATTTTAGGCTCATTTTAGAACACTACTTCCACACAACTAACTGTTCTCCATAATGCTGGTTCATGTAATGCCGCAGTTTCACAGGAGCAATCTCTGATGTTGGGTAGGATTAAGGCCTCTGTCCAAGTGAGGATCTGTCACTTACAAGTTTCTCTATAAATTCTTAGGTTCCAGAAGGCAGCCTCTCCCTAACCCCCACTCCCTGGTCGTAGGGAGGCTGCCTCTCTCTCTGTTTTCCTACTGCCTTCTCTGAAGGAGAGGGAGGGAAGCCTTTCCTATATACCCTCTCCCCCTTTATCATCCAGTTCCCATCATCAGTTATTTCAGGGGAAGAAGATGGCTACAATGGCTGGAAAAGAGCAGGCAAGAGTTAAATTACATTTGCAAAACTGAATGAAAACTTTTAATTTCCCTTTGAATTAGCAGCAAAGTATCATTTAAAAACTGATTAGTCCAAAGTAGTTTTATATGAAGTAAAGTTACTTACTACTGTTGAGATCTATTAGGAAAACTCTCTTCAGATGCTTGTGGTAGACCAAGGCAGCATGGACTCGAGAGCAAGACTGGTGATCAATGGTAAAATCACATAGATCAGGGTTTCTCCCAAACAGGTAATACTTCTTTTCATCAATGATCAGTTTCTAAGGTTGAGTACCAAATAAACAACATTACTTAATCTTGCATTGACAGCTTTCCCCCGAAGCTTTCCAATCATTAAAGATATTTAGTTAAATAGTCTTTTGCAGTCTGATAGTTCTTTGCCGAAGACAAAAATATTTTTTGAGACTATTAGGATGAAGACTTTAGAAATTTTTGATAACGTGGATTCATTACATTTCATAACACTTCTCCTAAACAGAGATCACATGTCAAGTTCAGGAATAAGGTTCAATTTTTTCCCCCACTCACAGAATCTCACATTTGGAAAGGACGCCGGAGGACATTTAATCCAATCCGCCCTTGTCTGTAACAATATCCCAGATAAACAGTGGTTCCAGCTTTTGCTTGAAGACTTCTAGCAACTGGAAATTAATTTGCTTCCATTTCCCATTCTACTTTTGAACAGTTAATTACTACAAAGTTTTCCCCTACACCAAATGGAAATTTGCATCTCTACAACTTCTAAACTCACTACTCCTATTTTGGAGTCAAGCAAAACAAGACATCCCTATTCCATGTGATGGCCTTTCAAATGTTTTAAAAGAGGAATCATGGCTACCCTACGGAGGGCTCCTATTTTCCACAGCTTCTTCAACCAAACCTTTAATAATGCCATCATCTCTGGGCTTCTCCTATTCTGGTGGCCTTTTTCTGGATACATGCCATTCTATCATGGGTCCCCCCAAGCAGCTAATGCTTTCTCTCTCCAAATCCCTGGCCTTTATTCTGTATATACTTATCTAAATATATGTTGTCTCCCCCATTAGAATGTCAAATCCTGAAGCGCAGGGACAACTTAGTTTTATCTTTCTATCAGCAGGCCCTGGTGTATAGCAGCTGCTCTTTAAATAAAGCTCACTGCTGAACTGTCACCCTATGATAAGGGCAGGGGGACGGGGGGGCGCACGCAAGACCCTCAGCTCATTCATTCTCTTTTTAAGTTAACTCGTTTTCTACCCTCTCTCACTATACCATCACCACCACCAAACAACGCTATTTAAAAATTAAACTTTTCATATTGCCTAATTTCAAGCTGAAACTGAAAAGGAAAAGGACAAGGCACAACTAAAGCAACGAGACTGACCTGAACGCATTCATTCGGATTTGCCTATCCAAACCAGTGCTATTCATCACAACAGTCACCCTGGGAAGTTGCTCAGAGCATTCAGAAAACAAATCCTATTTATGAATCCCAGCATAGGCTCAGTCCTACAGGCTGATGGCTTTAACTTTGACCAAAACCACTAGCCTCCAGCGTGACTGCACATCTTATTCACTGGATAAAGCTCTGTGTGACTTTTGACAGTATTCACCTTCAAAGGACAATGGTTGCCAGCCCTGAGGATGCACAAAAGAACACACCACAGATTCTGAAGTCAGCTGCCAAAAGTAAAGGCAGCTCCACAGAAAAGCAAAAGAGGCAGCATATGGGCTCTTCCAAGGTACTCTAGAGAACAAGCCTCACACCTGCAGGACAGGGCTGGGTTTCTTTTTTAAATCAAGTTCCTTTTAAAATCAACTTCATTTTTTAAAAACATATTCTTTCCTAAATAAAGAAGGGTAACAAGGAAGGGTGGCCCAGGGAATGGCACTATTAGGAATCAGGAAATCCTCAGTTACAGGATCCACAGAAGACTACTGCTTCCCTGGCTGCCTCAGTTTTTCTATTACAAAATATAGATAAATGACTTGGAAGACAAAATCTACCACACTGAGGTCACAACATTTTCATTAATTTATTTACACCAAAATAGAGGTGTTTCCAATAAGCTATATCTGTAGCAGATGCCAGGCCCAGTGCAGTGCGAAGGAACGTCAAACTCAAAAAGAAACAAGGCCACTAAAATGCACAAAAGGATCTTTGCCTCAGCATAGTAACTTAGAAAATCACTTATTAACATTTATGTTTTTTAATTTATGTATTTTAATTTATTTCATTAAATATTTCCCAAGTACATTTTAATTTGTTCCTGCATGTCTGACGCCTCTGTCACGGGCCATGGTATTTTTAAATATTCAAACTCATTGACCATAACCTAATTTACTTTGGCTTCAGCTTAAATTAGTTCAAGTTAACCTGGATATGTGGCTCTATGCTCAACACACACAATGTTCAACAGTTGATGCTCAATGGGTGGCTTCCAGTTTGAGCCTGTCGCCTGTGGGCCTGGCAGACCGTGGGTCTGAGTCACTCAGTTACTGAGCTCTATGTAGCACGTGCCCTCCTTCCTGATAGCTCTCTTCTCTCCTGGCTTCAGTATCGTGCATCTCAAACTGTCATGCTCTCATTTTACAGTTGAGAAAATGGGAGTCTCAGAGAATTGCAATGACTCACCCAAGGTCACACAGGTCATGAAGTAACCTAACCAAGCAAGGATCTGAGCCTGAGACCTCTGACTCCAAACCGAGCTTGCCCTTCAAAGCTGGCACCCCTCACTTCTGCTCTTTGCTTCTCTTCTCCTTGGTGACCTTATCTACTCCCATGGCTTCAATTATTAGCAATTATGCAAATGACTCCCAAATTTCTATCTTCCATCTCACTCTTTTCCCTAGGGCTCCCAGGCTGGATCTCCAACTTCTGGCTGGATCTTGTCATCCAGACATACCAACGGAAGCTTAAATTTGGACATGTCTAGGAATGAACTAATTCTCCCTCTAACCTGCCTTTCCCCCTTACCTTCTCCATTCTGGTTAATGGCACCACTACTCTGCCAGTATCCCAAAGAGGTCAATTTTAACTTTTCTTTCTTCCTTGCCCCACATATCCTAGCAGCTGCCAAGCACTTCTACCTTCAAGATATAGCTTGAAGAAAGTAAACGAACATGCCATTTATTAAATGCCTACTATGTGCCAGGCATACTCAGTGCTTTATAAATATTATCTCATCTGATCCTCACAATAATTTGGAGATAGGAGCTATTATTATCTTCATTTTACAGATGAGGAAACTGAGGCAGAGAGGTTTTGGGACTTGCCCAGGGACACACATCAAGTAAGAGTCTTGAGTTGGGATTTGAATCCAGGACTGGTGTTCTATCCACAGCACCACTTAATTGCCCTCAGTTTGGTCCTGAACCCTTTCTCTTCGCCCCACCACCCCCACAAACACCTTTGTCCCATTCTTATTCTCTTTTTATGTAGGCTATAACAACAATCTTTTAACTCTCCATCCTACCTTCATCCTATCCCTTTTCATTCCAACCTTCACACTGCTTCCCAAGTAATCTTCCCAATGCATTGTGACGGTCAAGTCAATCCTCACTCAAAAACCTTCAGGGATTCCCTAGCTGCTACCATATAAAATACAAACTCCAGCATTCGATGCCCCTTAAATTCTGAATCTAACCTACCTTTCTGGCCTCATCTCATTCTAGTCTCGTTCACATATTCTCAAGCCAGTCAAACTGGTCTGTCTTCCACTCTCTCCTGCACTCTGTCTCTGTGCCCCATGCCTAACACAGATTCTCCTTCCATCTCTGCTGCAATCCCACCCAATGTCCTATGCAAAGCTCTTCCCAGAGCCCTCTACACCTCATGCCTCAGGTGAAAGTGATTTTCCTTCTCAAATTGCTCACATCTTTTTGTCTGAACTTCTTTTTTGCATTTATCTCCCTCTGCCTTGTATCAGAGTTATCTGTATCCATGTGTCCTATCATCTTACCTATCTTCACCAACTTGGACAAAGTAAATGCTTTAATAGAAGTCTGTTTGTTGAAGTTTGTTGAAATTCTGAGATAGGCCACAAACTGTAAAAAATATAACATAACAGCTATCCATGCCAAATTTCTCATAGCATTCTCCACTCATGTTTTATAAATATAGATCATGAATTTATGATGGCAAATTGACTCTTTACAGATCTTGAGAATGCCGTCAAATAACGTAAGGCTTATAATAAGTCTGACAACCCACTCCACTGCTCTCAAAGTTACAACCACTTCTCAGACTATGAGATTTCTCTCAATCTGAATTCATTTTAAGCAGGCTAGTCTTGTGCTTTTCAGTCCAGCCATTATTCCTAGTCTGGCTATCATCGGGACTGTACCTTTGAGTTATAACCCAGAGTGCTCACCTCAACATGCTGGGCTTAAAAGACTCATGGTTTACTTTAATATTGCACTTATAAAACCCAGCTATCACAAGGTACATCCCAACCTTCTGGAGCAGCTCAGGATACAGATAGCTTGGTTAGTATCAAGTGCTTGATAATTCCATAGAGATAAGACCTGTTCCGGTCTGTTGCTAATAAAAATGACAAGAAGACACTCTTAGGATTGTGACTTGCCAGTTATGTCTCACCCAGTCATCTAACAGCATTTAAAGAGGACAGAGATTTCACTCTAGGAATCAATAGCCAATCTTACAAATTATGCCTACTTGTCTTCTTCCCCCAATACTGATAATAGAGATGTTGGCTGAATTCTAGTCAAGTCAAGAATTCATCAAAAGCTTAATATGTGCCAGGCACTGTGCTAAGAGACTGGGGAAAAAAAAAAAAGACAAAATCCTGTCCCTACCCTCAGGGAGGTCACAGTCTAATGGAGGAGACAAAATGCAAACTATGCACAAACAAGACATAAACAAGATATACTGGGAGAAGTCTCAGAGGGAGGAAACCTGGGAAAGGCATCGTGTAGATGGTGGGACTTTAGCTGAGACTTGCAGGCAGCCAGAGAAGTCAGAGGTGGAGATGAGGAGGGAGAGGGTTGCAGGCACAGGGGGATGGCCAGTGAAACACTTGAAGTCAGGAGACGGAGAGTAGTTTGTGAGGAATGTTCAGTCAATAAATATTTATTAAGCTCCTACTACATACTAAGCACTGTGCTAAGTGTCAGAGATAGAAAAGCAAAAGACAGACCCTGCCCGCAGGGAGCTCAGTCTAATGGGGGAAACAACTTGCAAACGACCATGCACAAACACGATACAAACGGATCAAGTGGAGGTAATCTCAGAGGGAAGGCACAACAATTAAGAGGGGCTGTGAAAGGCTTCCTGTAGAAGGTGGGATTTTAGCTGGGGCTTGAAGCCAGGAGGGGGAAATGAGGAAGAAGAGAAGTCCAGGCACAGGGGACAGCCAGGAGCATATTACTTGAGAAATAGTAAGGAAGCCATGGGATTGCAGAGTACACGGGTATAAGAGTGAGTGTGTGTGTGGGTGTGTGTGCATGTGCGTGCACGCGCACCCGCAAGCACACACAAACATGTATGTATGTGTGTGTGTGGTGAGGGGGGCTGCAGGTTATAAAGGGCTTTGAACACCAAACAGAGGATGTTCTGTTTAATCCTGGAGACGATCGGGGTCAACGGAATTTATTAACTAAGGGGTGACATGGTTAGCCCTGGATTTTAGGAAAATCTACTGCATAGCTGAAGGGAGGATGGATTAGAGCTGGGACAGCCTGGAGGCAGGGAGATCAACCAGAAGGCCATTGCAATAGTAACTGAATTTCTTCCCTAAGGGTCCTTTAGCAAAGACTATTACAGATTTCTAGAATGCTCTATCATAAAGTGCTTCATATACATTTCAACTCAGTATTCCAGGTTAATCTTCCACTAAATTTCCCAGGTGTCTCTTATCATGTCTCAAAAGTCCCCTGGGCACTTGGAAAGTTATGCCACTGAAATACAAGGTCTGGCAAATTATACCAAGCTTGAAAACCTTTGGGTACAGAACAGTGATGGATTCATCTACCTGTCACTTCAGCCCAGCTTAGCTAAGTCTGGAAAGTTCAGCGAGAGGAGGCTCACTCCCAGGTGATGATTTGGGGGGTTTTTAGACCCAGGGCTTTATGAATGGGTTGTCTACTAAGGGCTGTGATCTGTACTGGTGCACTTCTGAAACCAGATTCACAGACCTTCTGAAGTACTTCGTGCAATAATCTCAACAGGAGGGTCTTGAAAGTTCTACTTCAAAAGTAGAACCTATGACAAAACAACTAGAAGTGACTGGCCTGAGATTAGACTGAATGTGTATGCAGAACAGAGCCAGCTCTTCATTTCAACTCACACTCTAACATAGCGCATTCCAACAGGGACCAATAACAAACAACCCAGTCAGGAGGATCCTTCATACAAGGAGCTGATAGCAGGCTACTTGTCAAGCAGACAGTAGGACAGTACAATGAATAATGTGCAACAAGCAAAGAGAAATCATAATTCAATAATATTGCTTGGACTAAAAATCCTGAGTAAGTGCTGAAACTGATTTAAATCACAGAGGTTGTTTGGTCCACCTCCTTACATGACTTTAGCAACTCTGATCCTGTCTCTTGGTGATAAATATGTTGCAACCTAGGAACAATTCTAACCCCTGAAAGTCTTATATTTAAAAGTTCCATCTGGAGTCTGGTTAAGGACCCTCAGCTTCTAATTATGGGCTCCTTGGACAAAGTCATCATCCTCACTCCAGTTTTAAAAGCATGGCTCCTTATTAGCTTTGTCCAATCCTCTGAGCAAAACTCAAGGACAATCCTTATAAAGGCCTCCTTCCCATGCTCTGTATTCCATGCGATTTATTGAGCTAATTAATTCCCAGTACATTCCACATATCCCAGGCTGCTTCCCAGAAAGAGAAACAGAAGTTTCTTATGGGCCCTTTGCCTGTATCTTCTCCTTAAGAGTTCAAAGATGCATGACCTATTAAAAACCCTTCACTGGGAAGCTGGAGGAGCTAACATATACCTCAGTGTCTGAAAGAGATACATGTAGTTCAATGTGTTACATCATTAAGTGCTTTTAATGAAAAAAATTGGGAACTGAAAATAGCATTACTGGAAAACAAAGCACAGGAATGGGGGTGGGAAGTGACTCATGTTTTCCCATGTTGGAAAAAACACATGATATGTATTTTCATACCTCAATTAACTTGTCTCCTTTGACTACATCCAGATGTAAACCAGGTGGGGGTTTACCTGCCCTAGAAAATAAAGAGAAAAACACCTTCAAGATGAGTACAATGAAAGCTATTTACAGTTTCTGTTCCCATTGAGTGTCGAAGCTCTCAACCAGCCTATAATTAGTTCACGTTCAAGAAGAAATGCCATCTCCTTCGCTGTTATTACAGCTCCTTTCCACTTTTGATGCTGTACTTCTCCAATGATTCAACTGCTCCAAAACAGACTTCAGTTAAGCAATATTTAGAACAGCAGGAAAGAAACCTATATTTTAAAACCATATGTCTACCTTGCAGAGCAGGCCTATAAAGATAGAATGCTTCCAGCACAGTGATCAGAGAATCTGGGCTTGATTCTAAGGCCTGCCAATTATAATCTGAAAAGGCAGAATAAACTAAGAGGTAGCTGGGGCTGAAGGTATGAAATAACATGTCAGGAAAGCTCAAAGTTGGTCAAACCACAGTACAAGTAGAGACCAGTAACTTGGACCTTGAGTTCTGAGATAAAAACAAATGCTGCCCAGCTTGGCGTCATAGGTAACCTTGGCATAGGAACCCCCCTACTTGACATTCTTTGAGGACAAATACATAAAAGAGTACTGGAAGCATCTGCTGGCTATTCCTGTCAGGTAGTACTGTCTCTGTATCCACAATAGCTATGATACCTTGAAATTTGCTGCCCACGAGATCATGTCAATGGAGGCCCAGGGATGTATTCAGTAACAAGAGTCAGGAAAGGGATCATGCTGCATCAAAACCCTTCTACTCTACTCTTTCATGTCATTTCCTATGAAAGCCTATGGTCAAATAAGACCTTGCTCTAGCATCGGGGCTAGACCTCAGTGAAAAAAATGCAACCTTATCAATGTCTGCCTAACCCATAAATATCTAACTAAGAGTAGTAATAACAGTCATCTCATGACCTGGACTACATCCTCCTTAGCACACAATGAAAGAGAAGGTATGTGCCCACCATGTCCAGAAGATGGAATGGATGCTCACCAAGTTCAACCCATTTTGTGCCACAACCTTAAGACTGAATTAATGTAGGTGCCAACAGTCTGTGAATGGAGGTAGCACGCTCTACTCTAGAGGAATCCCTGGATTTGAGGTCTGTGGATTCTGGACACCAATCTTAACTCAGCTATTTTTTAAAACTGTGTAGCCTTGGGCAAATGGTTCTGTATCTCTGGATTTCCATTTTTCTCACTTGTCAAAGGCAGGGGCTGGACTCTAAGCTCTATCTCTAAAGTTTCTTCAAATTCTGCAAGTCTAGCTTTTAAGATGCCTTCCAATTCTGACATCTGATGATCACTGGAGGTCAGTGCCCTCGCTCTGCGCTTGCTTCCTTCCCTCTCTGTCATAAGAAGAGGACTGGAGGGAGCATCTCAAAGAGCACAGGGCTTGGCTGCCAAGGGAAGGCTTTGGGGACCCAGCTTGGGGGGTGGGGGAGGGAGGCCAAAGGTGGAGGAGAAGGAGGGAGGAAAAGCCTCAGACCCAGGGAGCCCTTAGAGATGAGAAGAGGCCAGCTCCAGGCTTCCCATCCCGGGCAACAGCCCTCGGGCAGGACAGGAGAGGATGTCTGCGGTTTCTCTCTCCCTCCAGTCCGTCCGTCCGTCCGTCCGTCCGCCTACCTCTCTCTAGATCCAGGGCTGGCCCCTCTCTGCCTGTCTCAGGCGTCTCGGTCCTCAGGGACCTAAGAGGGAAGGCGGGGGGGGGAGGGAGGGAGCCCCTCCCCCTCCGGCCTCCCCCCTCCCCTCCTCCAGCGGCCTCCAGCCCGACCCCCGGGGCCCGGGCCGCCCAGGTGAGGGGAGAGGAGGAGAGAGGGAAGCAAGGATGGAGGATGGAGGCCGACTCCTCTCTCTGTGCCTCACAAGCCCGCCCGCCCCAGGCCCGAGGCCTGACCGCGGTACCCCGGAGACGCTCCCGCCCCAGAACCGGCCCGCCCCGGACCCCAGCGCTCACCAAGTCGGGCAGTCAAACAGCGGGAGACTAGAGCCTGAGTTCGCGGCTGCCGCCATCTTGCGTCTCCCCCTCCCATTTGGAGAACCCAAAGCATGCCGGGAAGTGGGAGGACTGAACTGGGGAGGGGAGGCGAGGAGAGAGATCCCAGCAGTCCATGCGCGCTCCTCCACCCCCTCCTCCGAAACAGACCCCTCATCTCAAAGACCTAATTGCGAGATCTCCGAGAGCGCACGCGCTCCTCTGTCTCGCCCTTCTCATCTGCCTGCGGGTTTGGCGGTTTGAGCCTTGGCCATTATATTTGGGCCTGTTGAGAACTCCTGTACTTAGAGCCTCCGTTTCTAGTTAACACTGACTAGATGGTCTCTAACATCTTGTGTTTTAAGGCCTCTCCCACCTCTGACATCCTATGTTCTAAGGACCCTCCCAGTTCTGACATTCTCTGTTCTAAAGGCCCTCCCAGCTCTGACATCCTGGGTTCTAAGGGCCCTTTCACCTCTGACATTTTATGTTCTTGGGCTCCTCCTAGCTCTGACATCTTTTGTTCTAGGGCCCTCCCAGCTCTGGCATCCTGGGTTCCAAGGGCCCTCCCAGCTCTTACATTGTGTTCTAAGAGCCCTCCCACCTCTGACATTTTATATTCTAAGATCCCTCCAGCTTTTGATGTGGTCCAAGGGTGCTAGGAACCCCGAAATGCAAGGGTACAGGGCAGGTCTGCCTCGAAAGGATTCACCCACTCAAGCCTTCTTTCAGTCAGAGTAATGAGGTTTTTTTCTAACATGGCCTGGCCAGATTCTAAATCTTCACAATTTAATGGGGGTAAGAAAAAGACTGAGAGGGGCAGCTAGGTGGCACAGTGGATAGAGCAGCGGCCCTGAAGTCAGGAGGACCCGAGTTCAAATATGGCCTCAGACCAAACACTTGACACGTACTAGCTGTGTGACCTTGGAGAAGTCACTTAACCCCGACTGCCTCACCAAAAAAAAAAAGAAAAGAAAAGAAAAGAAAAAGACTGAGAAAATCTGGAAGGGATCAAGAAGCAGCAAGTAGCCTAGGGTGGTCCAAAGGTAACAGGGAAAGGGGGGAGGGGATTAAGGAGTGTCAAGTAAGCTAATTAAGTAATCAAAGTGGGGTGGGCCAGATACCTCAGGCCAATGCCAGGGACTGGGTTCCTGCAATTTGTGGGAAAGTTCAGGGGCTTTTCCTTTTAGAGGTCCAGATCCCATCCCCCCATCATTTTGACATTCTGCAACGGATAACTCTATCCATGGTGTGGAGTCAGAAAGACCAGAGTTTAAATCTCGCCTCACTTACAAACTGTGTGACCCTGGGTAAGTCACTTAACTTCAGTCTGCCTCATTTTCCTCAACTGTAAAATGGGCATAATACCTACCTTTGTAGGGTTGTGAGGATCAAATGAGATAATATTTATGCAGTGTTTAGCGCAGTGCCTGGCACATAGTAGACCTGTAATAAATACTTGTTTCCCTCCTTTCTTGTAGTTCTAATTTTCTGTGTTCTAAAGTCCTTCACAGCATTGACACTTTATGCACTACAGCCGCTTCCAGATGACTTTGTAATGTAAGGTTCCTCCTAAGTCTGACCTTCTGTGTTCTATGGCTCTTTTCAACTTTTACATTTTATGTTCTAAGGTACCTTCCAGTTTTGACATTGTGTTCTGAGGCCCCTTCCAGCTCTGAGGTCCTTTTAAGATCTAATATTCTGTGTGTGCTGTCCTACACACAATTTCTTCTAGCATTCTGTTATTAAGGCTGCTCCCAGCTTTGCCATTTTATATTTTAAGGCCCCTTCTAGCTTTGATATTAGGGCAGCAAGGTGCTGCAGTACAGAGAGCACTGAGTCTGAAGTCAAGAAGATATGAGTTCAAATCTGGGCTCAGACACTTCCTGTCTAGGCAAGTCGTTTCACCCTGTCTGCCTCAGTTTCCTCATCTGTAAAATGAGCTGGAGAAGGAAATGGCAAACCCTTCCAGTATCTTTGCCAAGAAAACCTCAAATGGGGTCATAACAAGTAGACATGACTGAACAACAATAACAATAAACTTTTGATGGTGTACATTCTAAGGTACCTCCCAGCGCTAACATTATATATTCAGTGTTCTAGTATTCTATGTATTAAGTAAGATCTTTCCAAGTCTGACATTCTATGATCTAGCCCAGTTGTTGACATTCTGTATTTCACAGCTGCTGCCAGCTCTGACGTTCTGTGTTCTAAGGGCCCTCCCAGAACTGATATTCTGTGATCTAAGATTCAAAGAGATTATGATATCCCAAGGTCCCCTCTTGCTCTAGGGCCTATATGATTTCTATACTTGCCACCTTCATTCAGTGCCTTTCCCCAAGCTCAGAACAGGGAATCCCGCTTTGTAACTGAAATGTAACTGAAAAGCATGTAGAATAGTCCCACGACTGATTTCTACCTCACTCCATTCCCTTAGCTTTGTCTCTTTTGTGATTAAAAATGACCAGAAATTTCTCCCTTCACCCGGGGCTCACAAAACTTTCATATAAACCTTCATTCAAAGAGACTTCAGCTCCTACTGATATTTCTGCAATGAACTTCAATTGTGTTGTATTTTGCATTTTGAACCAGCTGAAGAAAGGGACTTGGTAGAGGTTTAAGGGGGTTGGTAACATATTACCAGCCATGACTTGTGATGAATGATTATATCAAGGCCAATATATTATCCAGGAAATGAAGGAGACTGATCACATCACAAGTGATGACGGATTAGCAGTCCCATGAAATATTTAAAAGGTCCAGAGAAAGGCTCCCAGCACTTAAGCTAAACAGGAGTTATATGGAATGACATGGATAAGATGTATATGGGATGAGAAAGCAAGGGTTCCTAGCTAGGATGCATCTGCTCAAATGAGTACACATGTCCATGAGATTCCAGAACCACTGAAGCATCAATAGTATGCCTGAAAGGGAAAACAGATAAAAGCCTTTCCTGGGGCAGGACGATGAAGGGATGGAGGAAAGGAGGCTGGAAGTCTATTCTTTCTTCCAATACTGATGATTCAGAGACACCTGCTCTGTCTGTCATTCTTTCCTAAATCTATGCCATGCTAGAAGGTGCTGGATTTAACAGACAAATTCCTTAAAGCCCTGATCAGTTCTGGAGAAAGGCAGCAGCTACACACAGAGAGAAAAGAGGAATTAAGGAACAGCCTTACACAGAAAACCAAAATGGAAGTCCAGGGCTCCTAATTAGTAAATGTTATTTGTGAGAATCTGATAAACTTATGCAGCAGCTTATAATACAGAGTTGAAGTTGGTGGCAAAAGAGGTGGTCCTTTCTCCCTAGTTTGACCATTGGCCAAAGTATCAAGTTGTGTTGGCCAAAGACAAACCCATCAAGCCAGGCCTCAGTTGTCCTGGTTATCTTTACTCTTATACATCCAGCCCTTCCTTTTCTTTTTATTGGACAGGGAGTGCAGCCTCTTGACTCTCCCAAAAGAAACAAATTCTTGGATCCAGAAAGAGGGAAGGAAACAAGTATTTATTAAGTGCTTACTATGTGCCAGGCAGTGTTAAGCAATTTACAAATATTTTCTCATTTGATCCTCACAATAACCCTGGGATGTAGATACTATTATTATCATTCTCATTTTACAGTTGAAGAAACTGAGATAGAGGTTGAGGTACTTGCCTAGGTTCACATATACTAAATGTCAGGGTCTTGCTGATTTCAAGCCCAGCCCTCTATCTACAGGGCCTCCTAGCTGCCTCTAGGCAGAGCTAAAGTGACCTGAGCAAAAGAGCAACATACTCCAATACAAATCAAGGTAACTGATCATCTTTGCAAGGTTCAAGAGCCTTTAAATCACCTGTAAATCACAGAGATGGAAGAAACCTCAGAGGTCTGCAAGTTCAAATTGTATCCCAACGATCCCCCTCTACTGCATCCCTGGACAAGTGACCATCCATCTGACACAAAAAGACTCAAAAGTACTGGGAACCACTGCCTCCCCAACACAGGCCATTCAATTTTTGGACTGCTCACATTCTTCTGGGTAGATCCTGTATCCTACCAGAAATACCTCAGCCAGTCCACAACACTTAGATCTCAGCAAAGAGCTGGTCCCCTTTGTGTATTTCAGTGAGATTTGACATCTTAAACCAGGTAGGGCAAACACCTGGTGAGAAGCTCGTGGTGTAACATAGGAAATTTAGTTGGAATTTAAGAAATTCTGGACTCGTGAGGACATTGGTAGGGCCACTTCTTTCTAGGCATATTTCCTGTCCAGAAACAGAATGAGTTTTTGGCTAACTCAAACAGCATTGTGCTGTGGAGATAGGAATGGGCTAGAATACTGCTTTTCATCTATCACCTTAACCATGTGAAAGTCTATAAACTAGGTTCTAGACAGGAATGCTGAATTCCCTCCATTCTTTCTCTCCAGTTAATTTTGTGACTCATGACTTCAGGAAGATGGGAATAGTTTACACACCTTCTTTTCAGGGAGTGATCTCTGAGAAATAATTATGTCTTTAAAATGGTTTAAGCAACCAAGGAGACCAAGGTTCACTCACTAATTTCCAGGGGTTATACAGATCTTTAAAGCTTTCTGTCCTTTTGATCCATACTTCAGTGGTAACTTTTGGTTAACAATAGGTGTGGTATAGAGGAAACAGCTCTGCATTTAAAGGTAGAGAACCTGGACTGAAAACCCAACTCTGTTCCTTACTCCCTATGTGACCCATGAGCAAATGAATGAATCTTCCTAGGCCTCAGTTTCCTTATTTATTGAGAAAAAAAAAAAAAGTTAAACAAGATGGCCTCTAAGCTCTGTTGGCCACTCTCAATCATTACCCTAGAGGAAGACTCTTTGGCCTTTCCATTTCTTAACACTCAATACACCCAGGTGTACTTTCCCCCAAGAAACCTCAAATGCCATTCTTACCCCTATAATCCTTTCTGTTCTAGCCATGTTTCCTCTGTTTCCAGCACAGCGGATGTGAACACAACCTTTTTGGTACAGGGGGGCAGCTTGTACTATCTGGCCCTCTTAAAATGCAAATAACCTCTTTGTTTGAGTACCCACATCATCAGTGATGTCAGGACAGGCTTGCAGACTGGGATGCAGCCATTTAAGTCCTCAACATTGTGAGCTGTAAAGCCTGGGGTGTTACCTTTGCATTCTGATGTATCCACAATGAGACGGGTGGGAAAGGAGAACTGATCTAAAACTTGGAAATGAATTCCTGGATTAGAAATCAGAAGATACTGGAGGCACATTTGGAATCTGAAGCTCACTTGGGTTATCCAACACCAAATGGATTATAGTAGTTGAAGGCAGTAGGGGAATACAAGAGCCAGGGGACCTGCATTCAGACCCTATCTCACACACATTTGCTAGGATCATGGTAAGTCCTTTTACTTTTCTAAGCCTCCATTGCTTAATCTATGAAATGGAGATGAAAGTACTAAATCACTTTGTAGAGCTTAAGGTTCCACATAAAGGTGTTATTTCTAGTCAAATTTCACTTTAGGGGAAAGTATGACAAATCTTCCCACCCTCCCAAACAAATCGATCAAGCCATCTGAAGGCAAAGCCCACCTAAAATGGAATCTCTCATTCATCATCTTTCCAGTGAGGTATCATGGCAGAATGGCCAAAGCCCTGCACTTGGAGTCATGAAGACCTGGGTTCCAGCCCTGCCTCAGATATTTATTAACTGAAAGACCCTAGGCAAATCCCTTCATCTCTAAGCCTGTTTCATTTCTAAAATGTTGATAATCTAGCACCTACTTCATGGGTGTAAATTATTTCACCAACTTTAAAGTGCCACGTGTGAGAGCTATCATTCCCTAGCTCATACGGTCATGGAGATTCCAAAGGCACTACGCTTTGTGAAGCTGCAGAGGACGAACAAAAGAGCATTTATTGGAACCTTGAGAGACACAGACTGGACTCCTATCTCAGAGGCCTCAGGGAAGGTACATTCTGTAGGAGCTGGGACTGAATCCTAGTTTCATTCATCACACTGTGGCCAAGACCCCCTTCTATCTTGAGGAAGGAACTATCGAGGTCCTAAGTACGAATACCATCCTCAGCAGCCTCTGAAACAGCCGTGAAAGGAGGAGGAGAGGCAGTTTTTTCTATTTCTATAATCTATTTTGCATTAGATGTGAGACAATCATTTCAAAATGTTTGCTTGAGAGCCCAGGATACCAGTGGGTCATGAGACATTCCTCTCTCTACCCTTCCCTCCCACACTAGCCTGAGATTTTAGGAGCTGGCAGACTCCCATTTTCAATATCCTCCCAATGGGCAGGTGGGTTCTAACTTCATTCCACCATACAATTCTGATTTGGCTGAGGAAAGGGGTTCCTGGTTTTGTTCAAATTCTAGGGTTCTCCACACCTTTGGAAGAGATGGGGGAAGAGACTGATAAAGAACAGGCTCACGAGGCATCCATCTGGCATTCCTCTGGATAGACAAACCAAATCCCCCGGAATGTTAGTACAGACTGAGGAACCTAGGATTTCAGTGCTTTGAGGAGACCTCTTCTAGAATCATTCTCCAGGCTGAGGCATGGTAGCGATCTCAAAGGCAGTCTTGGTGGATCACAAACTGTGGCAGGTCCTCCAAAGCTGGAAAGGCTCCACATGGTGGACAGACTGACATAGTATGTCCACTATCTGGGGATCAGTAAATCTGAGCTAAGCTCAGAGAGGCTCATTACTGTATCTTGCATTTTCTCAGTCATCCCAATCCTATGGGACAGACCATCTCCCAAGTCACAGAGGGGTTGGCTATGATCTGTACTGGTAGATGCAGCAAGTACCCACACTATCCCCAGAAGTATTAAAGAAAGAAGGGATCTATTAACTCCACAACCTCATGCCCAGAATTCACCTGGTACCACCACCCTTGCTTTTAGGAGCAGCAGAGTATAGATTCACCACTCAGTCTATCTATCAGAACATTGATTCACATAAATGTACTCGAAAAGCTTTTAAAAATGTTTATTGATGTTAAGTGGATGGAATGGTGGTGCAATAGTGCAAAGAAATGTGTGCAATTCTGGGGCCTTGTTTTTCCTAATTTTCACAGCTGGATGAGTCAAAGAGGATTAAAAAAACACCAACAGAGGCTGAGGGTGGGCAGAGGACGTCGATATACTTGGACTGGCCACTTGCTGGCCAGCTCATCATCAGGTGGTGTGGTTCACGTTTGGGTCAGAGCTGGAAAGGTCGAGCTCACTCCGTTCACCCCAGGCTGACACGCAGGGGAAGTAGACCACATCTGTGTGGCACGAGGGTGGGTTTATTTCAAACATTTTCCGTCCGTCTAAACTATATGCAGAGAGCTGAGTCTCCTGTTCATAAATTAGCTTCACGAGTTAGCATTACCATTCCAAACCAGTATTATTTACAAAACAAACCTTTTACCTGCTCTAGCCTCAGGTTCACAGGACAAGTTATTAAAGAAAACTTCTGGCTAACTTAAAAAATCTCTCTTCCATTCAACACCCAGCAACTTTTGAGGGGTAGGGCCTGGGGGGTGTTCAATTTTGTGACAGCAACAATCACCATTCACCAGGAATGCAGAGTCACAAACTAAATGACAGTAAATTTAAGTCACTACAGATTGTTTGCTCCCAGTTAGCTTGTTACAGGAATGCCACTTTGAAACAGGAGTGATTGCTCAGTCATCCGCTTTCTACAGATAAATGAAAGAAGGGCCCCAGGGAGTGCTAATAAATATATTGATTAACAAGCTCATTTGAAAACCAAAAAGTGCTGCCTGAACACAATCCAAATGAGGCGACCACGGACTGACCTTAACAGAAAACTGAAGGATGAAACTCGAAGTCAAATAGGAGGTGTGCCCTTAATTAAGACTGACCAGTTTGCACTTCCAGCTGAAAACACAGGGCTGAAATCTTCCTAAGCAAATGGAGAATATTTTTCTTGGAAATTCCAAATCAAAATGGCAAGTAAGAAAAATTGCTGGTTTATAAAAGGTTCCTGATGGCCTCCATTACACTGGGTGCCAGAAAATCCTTCTGTTCCGGTTGCTGGTAAAAAGGCCATTCTGGCACACACATAAAAAGACGATAGCACAAGAATGTAGTGTATTACCTGTCAAACGAGAACTTCAAGAACGGAATCTTCGAGGACTCACTCATCAGTGAACATTTGGGACAGAGAGCAATCAAAATACGAGAGAAATCAAAAACCCACATAAGTTAATTCCTAATTTGCAAAACTGATACAATTTGTACATAAACTGATAAAGCCCATCTTCACGGCTCACCAATCCCAAGTCCTAGTCACCAGCGGTTAGTTTCTACCTAGATTGCTAACAGGGAGCTCGGGGATGCTCTCTTGAGGGGATTGGTTTGCTCTGGAGACGCTGACACACTCTTGCTTGGAAGCTGTTCAGCAGGAGTGGACTCTGAGGAAAGCGGCCACTTCATTTGGATAACCACACGATAATGAATATCAAGATTCCTATAGCCACTGCTAGGACAAGCACTAGGATGCAGATCTTCTTCCGGGATTTTTTCTAAAGAAAACAGTTAAAAGACTGATAAGACAACAGTCCAAATCCACCTTCAAAAGGCTTTAAACATTTGCCTTCTCCTAGCAGATCTGAATAATAAACACTGCTATACAAAGGGATTCATGAAGACCTGCTCAAGATAGCAGACTTTGTTGGAACAGAGGGCACTAAACTTAGGACCCCTGAATCCAACTAGCCTAGTTTAAAGTACTGGGTAATGGAATTTATATGAAATTCAGTTGCAGGCCCCCAAACCTAATGATATGGAGAAAGAGAATTTAGAGGTGGTGGCACAAGTTGGAGGTGGGGGGTGACAGGAGCCCTGGGTATGATACTGGTCAATGCTCCCAATACTGTGCCTTAAGCACAGTCAAGTGGTTCAGTACAAGTCCCCAGGAGGATCTGCCTGCATCTTTCCCATCTGCTCTTCCTCCTGACTCTGCTATTTCTGTCAGCGCTGTCTCCATTCGCTCTTGCCAACATGCAGAATCTTGCTTGGGACAGCAGACTCCCTTCTCCCTCTCTGCTCATATCCAGTGAATTGTCAAGTGCACCACTTTCCCCTGGGTAGCACCTCCTACCTCTGTGCACTGCTCTCTTCCCATACCACCACGTGAACCCAGGGACTCACGAATATCTACGGAGACAACTGCGCTTGGCCCTATAGGTCTCTGAAGAACTCTGGAATTGATTATGTGACTTGGGAGATGCTGGCAAAGCCCCACACAGCATGGTATGTCTACATCAAAGCAGGCGCCTTGCTGTTCGCATAGCAGAACTAAAGTAGCTTAAAGGAAAATTTAGAGACATCTTCACCCCAAATGGACTATTTGTGCCCGACCTGAGCTCGTACTGGTCCGATCAGCCACAGTTGGACACGCTGTACCTTGACCCCAACATCATGACGTCATTCTGGTCCTCTTTAAGAGTGAAGGACAACAACTTGCCTCCCAACAGCTGTTCTCCACAGTAGCTCCACAATCCTACCAGACTAATTTTCCTCCTCTAGAGTTTTGGTCATATCACTGCTCTGCCCAAAAACCTTTAGTGTTTGTGGCAGCCTAACAAGCGGCATTCTATCATTAAGGTTCCTTCCAGCTTTGCCACTTTGTGCTTTAAGGCCCTTTCAAGCTTTCAAATTAGGGCAGCTAACTGCCGGGCCTGGACTCAGGAAGACTCATTTTTCCGAGTTCAAATCTGGCCTCAGACACTTACTAGCTGTGTGACCCTGGGCAAGTCACTTAACCCTGGTCTGCATCAGTTTCCTCATTTATAAAATGAGCCAGAGAAGAAAATGGCAAACTGCTCCAGTGTCTTTGCCAAAAAAACCCCAAACAGGGTCACAAAGAGTCGGGCTTGACTGAAATGACTGAACAGGATGGCCTAACTTCAAATCTCTTTGTTGGGCATTCGAGGCCCAGCATGAGCTGGGACCATTTTACCTTTCCAGCCTTAACTCATCCTATTTACATTGCAAGAGAGAGTCAGAATTTTACGTTCCAAGCATGCTGGACAAGGAGATGCCCCTCTCCTCCGTACCAGCCTTTCCAGCTTCCATGTTTTTGCTTAAGCCTTTTCTTCTTCCTAGAAAGTCCTTTTCCTTCTTTGCATATTGAACTCCTACCCACAGTTTATGGCTTAACTCAATACTACCCTCCTTTCTATAGTTTCCACTCATCTCTGCCCCTAGGCTGGTAACAAACTTTTCAAGTTTCCCATAAGAGGGTGGGTGAAGTAAGAGACAGAGATCTGGCCTCTGAGGCAGAAAGACCTGAGTTCAGGTCTCGCCTTTGACATGCCCTGGTTGTATTATCCTGAGTGAGTCAGCTCTTGGTGCCACCAGGTAATTAAGACCCTAAACTGCAGAGAAGGTGTTAATTTGCATGGATAGGGAGTTTATTCCTGGGAGCTCCCTACACCAATGAAATCACAGATCCAGGAAAAAAAAAAGCTATCTATGTATGTCTCATGCCACTCACAAAAACTAAGCTCCACTACTCTCAGGGTCTCTGAGCCTCGGTTTCCTCGTCTCATCTAAAAATGGGAAGAATCTCACGCGTATTATCTGATAGGTAAGCTGTGAACATCCAAATGAGATTACGTATATAAAAGCCCTTTATACGCTTAAGGACAACTCCAGGCACAATGTCCCACCTAAACTCTGTACTGCCTCCAGTAAGTGCACCCAGCAGGCACTCAAAGGAACAAAGCTCAAGTCTAGAGGGACGACACTGAAGCAGCTTAACCCTGAGAAACCCACAGTGACCAAGGCCTAGTGTAAACCTCTATTAGATCTAGACAGGAGAGCTAGGATGGGCCAGCCCACTCCCCAGCACTGAGGAAGCCTTCTCGCATAGGCTGATTCTGCACAGACCGCCTCAATCCAGCTTGCTCTCACTCTAACCAATAGAGACACGAAAGCTCAGCCCTTCATTTTTCAGTCACGCCTGACTCCAGGACACAAAGTGGCGGAGAAGCAAGAGGCCTAAGATTTGAATCACAAGCCGTGGCTTTCCCCCTTGCCTTTCCTGAGCCTCCCTCTCTCTTCTGTAAGATGGAGATCATGAGTAGGGAGCATGCTTCACCACTGATTGGAGAGTTCTCTTGTTTCTAACTATAAAGTATGATATAAATAGAGACCTATTATTATTCAACCAAATTTCCCACATTGCCTACTGAAGAAGTGAGTGAGCAGGACCAAGAGCTGATCACAGCTGCTTGTTTCCAGCATAAATTCCAAAAGGCAGCTGTGGCTGTCCTCTGGGACCGTCGGCCCTCAACATTCACCTGATAGTAGGCGGCTCGCTGTAGCTGATCTGTGGCTCTTTCAACGTGCACCTCAGAGCTCTCCACGTTGGCTTCTATGCTATCTGAAAAAGCAAGAGACACTGGCTGTCAACACACACAGAATCACACACACACACACACACACAGAGAATCACACACACACACCCCCCCAACTCCCACGGCAATGAACTGAGAGCCCTCCCTGCTGTCCCTCTGGTGCTCCTCTCTCTGCTGCCCGGGGCTGCTTGTATATATTGACAGCGCAGAGGAGTCAGGAGTCGCTGATGCTACATTTGTGTGGTTGAGGGAGCTGAAGCTTAGGCACAACAACCGTGGCAAAAAACAGCCCGGCAGACACTTAGGTGATAGAGTTAAGATAGAAATAGGCACATGGAGCTTAGACTGTAAGAAAGCCTGCCATGATTCTTACTTTTAAAATGAGAGGGTATTTGTTATGGGAATTCTGTTTCAATATGTCCAACAATACACACAAGGCTCTTGCGCATAGTCTAACTGTATTCTTTTTCAACACAAATGCAAACACACAGTGAGGCTTTTTCAGGGCCCCTCTCCCCGCCCCCCCTTTTTGTTTTTTGCTAAATCAACAACAGTACATACCAATCAAATCTCCCTGATCATGGATCATCATGGCCAAATCTTTAAATATCTGATTGACGTCCAAAATGTCGGCCTGTAGGACACAACAATCTTAAGCAACATTTTGATTCATTTTCTCTATTCCTTCCTCAGGCCTGTTCCATGCTTCAGTTGTTAACATGAGAGGAATGTATATGTTTGCAAGTGTTTATAAACTTAACCATAGGTACTCAGGACTATTTCCCTATAAATTGTGAGTAAAGATGATGAAGTAATTAATGATGGTCAAACAGTTGAATGATAAGGTCTGAAGCCACAGGCAGAGGGTTTAGAAAACAGCAAGAGGACAGGATGTGGAGGGCACTGTAGATGGTTTTCTCAAGGAATTTAGTCATGAAAGGGAGAGGAGATGTAGGATGATAGCAAAGATGGTCTGGTTGGGTCAACTGAAGATTTTTTTCTTTTTAAAGGAAGGAGATGTATGTTTGTAGGCAGTAGGGAGGCAGCCAGTAGATGGTGAGGGATTGAACATTAGTGAAAGAGAAGGGATGATAGAGATGGCACTATGCTGGAGAAGACAGGATACAATGGGACCAAGGGTGCCTGTAGCGCAGGCCTGCACCACATATGGCCCCAGGGTGATATGTTGTGCAAACCTGTTTTAAATCCCCTACATTTTTCACCGGTTGCAGGCTGAATGTTGAGCAGGCCTGCTGTAGAGGGTTTTGTCCTTCTAGAGAACAGCTATCCTTGCCATGATTCCCACAAACAGACACTTATGGAACATAGCCACTTCTGCTAAAAAACTAGTTTTGAAAAAGTTTGTTCCAACATGACAGATATATTAGGACGTGCAATTTCGCTTGCAAGAAACAGCAAGACTATAGAAACCCAAACCTAGCTGAACAAGTCACTGAAGAATGCACAAAATGCACACACTTCAAACAAGTACCAGCTACCTCAGTTCACACGCGCATTACTGTATAAGTTGTGTTCTGCTACTCTTTTGCATCTGTGAACTTTTCTATGTAAAAAACATTCATTCAACAGCGTAAGCTGAATGAGGTTCAGACTCAGGTCTTTAAGGTCACCCTCTCACCTGTACCCACTGACTTAGCCAGCTTGGGCCCCATGGGAACTGGGTGGCAGATGGAGGACTTATGGCTCTACTTCATAAACTCATGTGTTTTGAGAGAAATTCCTGGAGGAATAATATAACAAAAGGACTCAGATAGCTTCATGGACAGTGCAAACTGCAAAGGCCAGGATCCTCCTCTTACCTCCAGTTGCCTGATCGCAGTTTCTCGCTCCTTGATAAGTTCAAGGTCTTGCTCTGTAATGGCCAACTCATCTTCCTGTGACTGCATCTGATTCCACTCTTCATTGCTAAGGAAGTAACAGATATAGCCACTGAGACTCCACAGCTTCTGAGCAGAAGATGCATATGATATATAATACAGGCATCTGGCTTGCCAGAGAAGCTTCTCCAAGGCTGGTTACCAGGCCTTCTCTAGGGAATTATGGTTATCAAGAGGAAAAGTATGGCATTTAAATAGGATTACAAAATTGAGAATAGAGTAGGGAATGAAGAATCAGAGAGGAATTAGACCGTTAGGAATTTCCTTGAGAAAGTTACAGTCTCAAATTCTTCCATTAAAGCCCGTTTCTGCTCAATATTAGCTGGATGATACTGTCTAACCTCAAATTCTTTAACTGTAAGTGATAGGGCTGGACAAGACCGGAGATCATCTAAGATTCCTCTTGGCTTTAAGTCTATGATGTGCATATCCTGCCTAGGCTAAAGTTTGGGAGTGCTCTTCCTTTGTCTCTTCAAATACAGTGTCCAAAAGTCTGAGTGCAGATTTAAGCTTTAATAACTTAATGTAAGCTTAAACTCTAATAGCTTAAAATGCACTCAGACTTTTAGGACACCCTGAGTATAATGAAGGACCTAACTAAATGAATTTTCAATGGACATTTCTTTTTAACCTAACACTAATGGAGAAAAGTTGGTGCAAAATTAAAGGACACAACAGGCTTATTTTCATATGTCAAAGGTGATAAAGAGGCATATTCTATTTTTCTCTAGATAGACTACATTAAAAATCTAGCACTGGACATTTTCTGTGTGCCAAGCATTTGTTGCTTGTTTATTTCATATTATTCCAAATGTTCCTTGGAATAGGAATTGTGTCCATTTTACAGATGAGATAATATTGGTTAAAAAAAAAAAAGGTAAAAGGCCATAGCCTGGTACACAAACAAGCACATACAAATTCCTGGTCTCTAAGTCTGATGACTATTGTGGAGTCCAGTGCATCAGGGTGACCAACAGCAAAGATGGAGCTTCTTTTTGGAAATTTCTATCTTCCTTGAACTTGGTTCCACCATAAAGCAAGAATCTTAAATCTGCCTTCAGCTGCTGTATTTTATGTAGCTCTGTATTTTTTAAAAATTAAGACACAGTTAAATTCCATTTCCCAACATCTAACAAGATGGAGAGATAATCACACTTTACCTGTCAAATGAGACAAGCTGCTCCTCTCTCTGCCTCTCCTCCACCTATGAAAGAGGAGGGATTATTGCTGCTGGTATCCAGAAACACACCAGAGACACACAGCACACCTGATAGCTTTCGCTTAAATAAGAAAGGAAGAGACATGGTCTGAAGAGGAAGACACTCTGCCACGAGTGAGTGGCTGGGTGTAAAGCGGTTAAAGAGAAATCTGTACTTGGGTCTAGCCTTAAGAGGGAAGACTGATCGAATGGTACCACAGAGAAAACAGATGTGACTGGAGAAATCGATCATCAAGAACCACAGCCTGCCAGGCTAGAGAGGAAAGACTGGAAACTTAGAGGAACACAAAATGTCAGCGAGACAGGTTTTAGAAGGATGACATCAATATTACATTAGAAATTGGCTTTGCACAAGACAGAGCAACTTTAAAACCAGCCTGACATTTTCTGAGGACTGTGTTTGTGCTTAACAGCAAGGAAAACAAAAGCTAAAGAGGAAAGCCTGGGAGAAAAAGTCAGAAAATTGAAACACTTTCCTCTTGGAAACAAACTTACAGAGAGGCGGGATCCTGCTCTCGCTCGGGCGACAGTCTCCTTCTCCTTCTCAGACACTTTCCTCTGAACAGCCTGAAAGTTGTTCAATGCTACAGAGAAGTCATTCATCAAACGCTCCTTCTGAAGTTTCTGCAGGCGCTAAGGAGATGAAATGGAATATTAAATTAGAATTTGAATTTCTTTAAGTATTCAATTCCCACTAAGGCCAAAACTACATGCACACCTGGGCTGCTGAAAACAAAAAAGTGACTATAAAGCAGTCTCCTTCTCCTTCCAAAGCCCTTAGTCCTTGGGAAGACCAATCTGTTCATGTTCTAGGCCAAACTGGCTATTCCTTCTTTTAAGCTAACTCATCATTTCACACTGTTTTGTTTTTTTTCCAGAAACTCAAAAGGGAATTCTAAATCTTTATTCCTCACAAAAGAATGTGATGTGGAAGAAAAAAATACTTCCAAACACAGAATAGATGTTTTTCTTCAAAAAGACCTCTGCCAGAATAAGAAAGCTCTCCTCTAGACCACACCCACAGCTGCCTTGAAACCCCCAGAGGCACCTTCTTCATGGGAAAATTTTAAGTTCAAGGGCTAAGTCTTGGTGACACTAAAAGCCACTCTGTCCAGCTGCAGTACTTGCTTAAACTGTAGACTGGGATGCTCCTGTCCTCATCAACAATCATTTATTTCTCACTAAATTAGAATTTGACCTTGTTTAAATGTAGGCATTTCCCACTATGAGCAAACTACCCTCTTGGGTTGCTGGAAACAATAAGAAAGTGACTACAAAATAGTCTCATTCCACAGACCTAATCCTCGGGAACCCAGGTCTGTTCATTTTCTGGGCCGTGTATTGTGTGTGCCTAGCATATGTAAAATATTATACAAGATGTTAAGGGAATGGAAAGAGACAGGTATTAGAGACATTATAAAGTGACATAAAATATACTTATTATGCATCTACTATGCGCAGAGCCCAGCCTTCAAGGAGTTTGCAACCTAATTAGAGACATATGGGACTTTTGTGTTAAAAATATTTAACACCAAGAGGTACATGCTAAATACCAAATGACCATAAGAAAGTGCAGGATAGTGCAGAGAAGGTCTTTACAAAGATTTGCTTGGAGTTTCAGGATTCCTGAGTGTGGCAAAAAAGATAACAGAGTCAGGGTTGTGATAAATAGAAATGAATGGGGTCACATTCAATCAATCAAAAAGGATCTACACACACACACATACTGAACACAACATGCATTTTTTTATAGGGAAGATGCCAGCAGCTGGAAGAAAGGCTATGGGTGTCCCTTGAGCAGAGTTACAAAGGAAACAGGATCCTAAGAGATAACAGTGAGGCTGAAGTGCATTCCAGACACAAGGAAAGCCAGAGCAAAGATTGAGGTTAGGAAATGGAATGTCCTGTGTGGGGAAGAAGGAAGGCCAGTGTAGCTGTACCAGAGAGTGGGAAAAAGGGGAGTAAGATGGCTAGAAAGGTAAATTGGTACCACACTGGGAAGGGATTAAAAAACTGAACAAAGGAGATACTTCTGTGATGATAGACCTCTACTTTTTATTCTATATAGCTGATCTGTAATTATTCCAGCTAACAGGAGTAGCGAGGTACAATGGAAAGGACATGGGATGTGGAGTAAGAACACCTGAGCTCACTTACTTTGTGACCCTGAGCAAATCACTTAACCTTTCTGCCTCAGTTTCCTCATCTGTAAAAAAAGGATAATAACAGCACCTACCTCCTCAAGTTTTTGTAAGAATCAAATGAGATAATAAATGTAAAGCACTCTGTAACTTAAAGTGCTTTATTAAAGTTAGCTGTTATTTCCTCATATGTGAAATGAGGAGGCAGGGCATGCTGATCCCTTTTTGTCCCTTTCAGCTCTAAATCTGTGAGTCTGTGAGAGGAAAATGATAGCACAGATAATCCAAAAGTGATTTTTCTTTGACTTAGGAACATATTACATAATTTTGGTGGGTAACAAATTTAACCAATTCTATTTTGCTTAAGTTACTTTGTGGTCCCTGACCACACGTTAATTGGGCACAGAGTGTAGACAAACTAGAAATGTATTTGTGTGGGGAGGGGAAGTATGCCCAGGATTAAAACTCTGTCATGAGTAACCCAAAAGCAGATAATCTATACGTAAATACAGTCAACTTGTAATTATCAAGAAAAACTTTATTTTATCATCACTATCACAGAGGAAGATGAACACCTCAGATGGTTAAGCTCTTCATTACTCCCAGAATTTAGCTATTTAGAGGGGATGGTACAACTGGAGCTGGTGAAAATGCGCTTCTTCACTTTGGACCTTCCTGCAGATAGATAAGACAATCCTGAGAAAGGGTGCCTGCCTCCAATGCCAAAGCACCTGTTTACCCAAATAGAGACAACACAAATATAAAGTAATCATCATCTGGCCAACAAAGGAAGTTGTTTTGTTTGATTATGCTTGAATACATTACAAAAGTTTTGTTTTTCTTTTTCAACCGAGCAGTGTAGTGCAGGTGGGGGAAAGAAAAGATTTTTGTTAGATGAAAAAAAAATTAAATTAAAAATAATCTGTTAAGATAACTGCTTTCAACTCCTCACTGAGCTGCAATCTTTACCACACGATATCTTGATAAATAAACTGACATTAGTTAAATTATAAGAGATCTTTCAGTGTCTGATTGCGGCCTATAGGATAAAGATCCACAGTTCCCTGGAATGTTTTGCAAGGAAAAAAATTTTAATTAAATTTTATTTATAAAAAATTATAAAATAATATAACTAATGTCACCAAATTCCTCCATGGCTCAGCTTTTCTATGAAGCCTTCCCTAATTACATCCTCCAAATGGTATGTAATTGCGCTCTTCATCTCCAAGGACATTCTCTCACAATCATACTGCACATTCACAGTTGATCTTAGAGTATAGTTATATGTGTACTCTTTGTGTAAGGCTCACAAGGGCAGGGACTGACATTTAAAAGCATCCACAGTCTGGCTCCCCTTGACCTTTCCTGTCACATGCTTTATGTACGCCCTCTATGTAGCAACCCAACTATATTTTTCACTGTCTCTCTTTTAGTCCTTCCCTCTCCTGTCTCTGTGCTATTGCTTATACTCTCACCTATTCCTTGGCATGGATTTACCTTCCTCATCTCTTCTGTTGAAATATCTTCCCTTCAAGCCCCAATTTAAATGCCGTCTTCTCCATGAAGCCTTTCCCTTTCTGAACAGAAAGTAAACCTTCTGTGCAAAAACTTCTCAAAACACTTTGTCTGGATCTTTCTCTCTATTTGTTACATTCTGTTTGGTATTATGTAATTCTGTTTGTAGACTGCTTATCTCCACTAATTGATGGTAAACTACTTGACAACAGGAGATGGTACATAATCCGATCTTTAGATTTCTAGGATCTAGCATCATGTTCTAGACATAATAGGTGTTTAATCACTGAATGATAGTTTTAGAGCCGGAAGGGGCCTTAGAGACCACCTGATCCAACCCTCTCACTTTACTGAGGAGGAAAGTGAGTTGTGCAAGGGGTGAACGGCAGAGCTGAGAATTGTTTGCTAAACTATTCACCTTTGTATCCCTGTAAAGTACCAAGCACCAAGTCTGCACACTATATGTGTACAATACTTATTGTACTGAAATTTTCTGTTTGAGAGAGAAAGTGATTTCTACTTAACCACGGTATCAACAAACATTTATTGAACACCTATTACTTACTGACCCCGAGGAGCTATATGTGCGTTTATATGTGCATATACATATATATACACACACACACACACACATATATATATATATATATCTATACACACATACATATGTTCTAAAATAATAACAACGTGTCAAGATATTAGAAGACACCCTGTTTTCCAGAGCTATGGCCCAGCAAGCAGGCTGTGCCCTGAGCCTGGCATAACAACAATCCTTTGTACTCACCCTCTGGATGACCTCAGCCATGGCAAAACCCCAGAATTGGGACTTATGATTTCCCTTTTTCCCAAGGGATCCTGATCTAAGAGTTGGAGCTGCAGTTGATGTACTGCAGCCGAAAGTGATCAATCACATCTCCTGACACTCTGAATGATCCTTACACTTGTAATTACTAAGTGAACCGAACCAGGTTACACTCTTGTTCCCACCATACTAACTCTGGTTCTGTACCCCACTGAACAGATCACAAGGCTCAATGACCCTTAAGACTTGAGACAATCGCAAGTCTCAATGATTCTTTTAACTTGGAGACTATTTCCACGTGACCCAAGAACGCCCATATTGTCCCCAAAACGCCTGCATAACCACTCCTGCCTGCCACGGGAACTACTTACTCAAAAACTAAGAATGACTGTGTTGGGTCTTGTCTTTTTGTGGTTTTCATGTTTAAAAACCTTACCCCTGCCACAAGTGAGCAAGCCTTCCTTCTCAGGAGGACTTCTGCTTGCAAACATTTTCTTCACTTTGAAATGAAACTTTTATTTGATTCCTGGCACTTCTTGTCTCTACCTGCTTTGTTCGGCTCCGGCCACCCATAGGTTAGAGGCCAGGAAGTTCCGTTGGCTGACAAACACAATGGAAGATATGGTTAAATGTCATATAAGTTGTACACAACAGGACTCACTGGGGGTTGTGGTAATTAGAGAAGATTTTGTGGAGAAAGTAGGGATTGAGCTGGGCCTTGAAGAGCAGGCAGAACTTTAAGTGGGGTGGATGGCGAAATGGGCATCCAGGACAGGTGAATGTTATGAACAAAGGCACAGAAGCAGGAAATCACACAGCCCATATGCCAGGCAATAAGCCTCACGCTGTTTTTTGAAAAGTCTTAAAAGACCCCCCCCCAAAAAAAGGTACATTTTAAAGAGAGTATCCCTTTTACTTATTACTGCTGTCCACCAGGCTGTTCAGAGAACAGTTCAACCCGTGAATGACTCATTTTGGGTAGGGAAAGAGAAGGGGATACTATGTAAAGAATGATATCTTGGGGAATGAATCTAACCTTGCTTTGCAAATATACAACTGTTAAACATTCACCAGAAGTAAGTATCAAGATTTTCCTTCAACTAAAATCCTTTAGAATATAATCTTTCCTCCAAATGGGGAAAACACCAACCTGTTCTGAAGCCGACAGAGGGAGTGGCAATGATCCCAGCTCTTTCAGGCATTCATTTGTCTCCTTAGCGAGCTGATTTGCAGAATGTTGCAGTTGTTGTCTGAGAGAGAAAGGACTGTTTTAAGATGTCATTATTTCCCGGAGGGCTTTTATAGAATGGATCATTTTATTCCACAACTGAGGGGAAGGACACTTGAAAGTGGAGGGTAGAAATGAGTTTCTTGTGCTCAACAGAATCGAAGCAATGTTGCCAAGGTGATTCTCCTTCCAAGTACACAGCAAAGCAGCATCTGAAGAGTACTAGGCACCTACCTGGATGAGGCTTTCTGAAGGGACTACAGACTAAAATGTTAACTATTTCAGCAGAAAGATACACAAAAACATGAGTGAACAGTGAATAAAGAACACCCATCCTTTGTCAATTCTAGAATGTAGCTGCCAGTTTTGACAGGCGAGGGAGAAGAGCAATTTTTGCTTCTTGTAAAATCTGATTAGCTGGGCTATTATCAAGCTTTTGAGCTGGATACACGCAGTCCTGCATGCCTGGTATTGGTCATAGCCCACTGACTACAGGCTTCTCAGGCAAAGACACGTGAATAAAATGTGCCATAGACAGGACAGTTCTCTTGCACTGCCCATATTTCAGCTTCAGCCGTGGCTCCACACTTGCTTCTGGTCCTAGGTTGGTTCGATCCAAGCCTCCCCTGCCTGATTCTTCTTCCCTCCTAACTAACACAAGGTTAATTTTATATATAAAAGAAGTTGTTAACAATTTGTAGTCCCCTCAGAAAGCCTCTTACCTTGGCAACGTTGCTTCGATTCTGCTGAGCACCAGAAACTCATTCTCACCCTCAACCTATGTAGTTAAGGGGGGAAAACTTACAAGGGGTATGGAATGGAATGAATGAAAGAGTAAAGGAAATGTGATCTGTGAGGTGAGATTGGAGAAGCAGTGGAAATAGGAGACAAATTCCTTGTCTTCATGGTTTCCTTCTTTCTGCCCCCCTTTTAAAGATTTCTGCAGGAATGGTAGGGCCATGTACTTTCTTTTATTTTTTTAGTTTAATGTATTCACTTTTTTCAATTAACAAGCATTTTTTTTCCTCCCTCCCCTGGCCACCATAACTGAATAAAAAAAAAAAAAGAAAATCCTTGTAATAAATATGTAGCATCAAGTAAAGCAAACTCCCATATTGGTCCATGTGCTTCCAATTTATTAAATCTTGTCACTGAAAAGAGGCTTCTAGACCAGAGGAAGTAACTGAAAGAGAGAACTGACAAGTCCCACTTTCCTAAAAGTGGTATACCATGTAGCTATTTAGAGGCTTCTGCAAAGAAGTTCAAATACATGAAAAGCATTTTCTCATCCTCTGAATAAAATGAGAGAGGAAATATTAAAAATATTTTAGAGATGGGGAAATTGCAGTTCCAAGAGCAGAAATGGAGTCAAAACAAAGTGATTAAAAGAACCCAGGAATTCACTGTGCCAATCCATTGTTTTTCCTTCCCTTTTTTTTCTTTTAGAAATTGATGCCTCTTAGGGGCAGCTGGGTGGCGCAGTGGATAGAGCATCTGCCCTGAAGTCAGGAGGACCTGAGTTCAAATCCAGCCTTAGACCAAACACTTGACACTTGCTAGCTGTGTGACCCTGGGGCAAGTCACTTGACCCCAACTGCCTTAAGAAAAAAAAAAAATAAATTGATGCCTCTTGTTTTTGTTTTGCATCACAGTTATTTCCCAATATAATTCCTCACTCCATCCCCATTGATCTTTCCCTCAAAGAAACTAAGAAATACAGTTAGGCATAACCCAGATAATCAACAAACCAAGCAGATAAGTCTGCCAACACGGCTATACGGTCTTCTGGACTGGGAGAGTTTTACCTCTCTACCAAGCAAAGGGGGATGGGTATTTTATACTCTGTTCTCTGGAATCAAGTTCATTTACTGAAATTAATTTACAGTCAGCTAACTTTTAGTGATGTTACAATTTATATTACTATGGTCATTCCACTTTTCTTTCCCATTACATCTACCCTGGTACCTTTGGGCCATTTAAAATATTTTGATGGATCTGTGATCTCACTAGTGTGGGTTTTATTACAAGATAGATGGTCATTCATCCACACTTTCTCACCCTGAGCAACTCGTATCCTCATTCTCCTATGTAGCATATAGGAGGATTTTGTATTCTATACAGCTTTCAATCAACTAACTATATGACAGGAAAGATGGTGGTCTGCTGTACAGTGTCATTTGCAAAAGCCTCCCTGTTCCCTTGGAAAAAAAAACAAAACCTAACACTTTATATGTATGTATATTACTCAAAGATTTTGTAGAGATTGGAAAGTAGGCACAGGGATCAGCAGTTAGTAATCATTTATTGGTTGCTTTTTTTTTTTTTTGTAATGTCAGATATTTTTCCTCATCCTTTGGTATCTTTCCTCTTTCAACAATCTTAAGAATTGAGCCTTCACTTCTAGCATAGACTTGATCTTGGTCAGCTGCTTGGTCTTTCTATTTCAACTTTAATCAATCAACAAGCACGACTGAGCACTGTACTAAATGTTGGAGACACACACACAAAAAAAAAAAAGAAAAGAAAAGAAAAAGGAGGCTTCATGGGGCACATCAAGGAGTATGACGTTCAAGTCCAAATGTGGTGGTTCTACTACCACTGACGGAAAAAAAGGATCTGTTAGAGAATTGCTGACATTTTTCCCCCTCCATTTTTCAGTTGATCATTGTCCTCCTCAGTTCCATCCTTCAATGCTCTTGGAATGACATGGCTTGGTTGAGTTCCTTACCAAGCTTTCTGTAAACCTGTTTGTCCCTCCACTGCTTCACAAGGAAATACTGCTTGTGATTTTCCATCCTCCTCCAACATAAGATTTTGGAAATAAGTCTACATTCTAAACTGGTTGTGCCCTTGACTGTCCCATCTCTTCTTTTGGCAAGGAGATCAAACATCTGCTGGCTGAAGCTAGTCCTAGGCTGTTGGGTTTCTCTGTCGGGGCAGATTTACAATGGTTAAACTATACTAGCTAGTGAGTCTATCCATCTCCCATTTTCAGAGCTGACAGGTTGTTCAGATAAGATGAAATGGTCTCAATTGTGTACCAAAACTAATTTTATTCTTTCTCCTAATCTAAGGGATTGATTGTGATCTTTGTTCTAATAAGTTGATGGCCTAACTGTACACAGTTGATTCACAGATGACTCCTACAAAGGTAAACTGGTAATTTCTCATCTACTAAAATATCTTTGTGATGTTGTTTGGTGTTCATCAATCATATCCATTGCTCATTCCACTTCCCACCTGCAGCCCTGCCTGGTTTCAACTGCAAAGAACAAAGATGCCCCTCTCAGATACAAGCCCATCACTTCTAATTTCAGCACCAGGCTGCTAATTCTAAGCTTTGGATATCCCTCAGATTCCTCTCCCGTCTGACTGAAGGTCTGGAAAGCCTTCCTTTATAGAGGGCAGAAACTGGACTTCCAGCTCCCTCCACTTCTCATCTGCAACTATGGCTGGTTTCAAGTCCATGGAATAAGATGCTTGATGCCAGTACCATCCCACTCCCCCAAACTTTGCTTTCTTCCAGGTAATCCCTGGTATCCTGCCCCACCCCATCCTTTCCAGCTTCCTTTTGTGCATTATCTTTCCCCATTAGATTGTAAGATCCTTGAGGGCAGGGACTGTCTTTTTCTTATTTGTATCCCCAGGGCTTAGCACAGTACTTGGCACAAAGTGAGTGCTTACTAAATGTTTATTGCATCAAGAATTGAATGGAATTGCATCCTCACTCTTCTAGAAGAAAGTACTCATAGTATAGAGGTGAGAGGCTTCTACAAGGCAGTGCCAAAGTCTTAATGCAGTTTTAAGCTCTTAAGACTTTTGGGCCACCCCGTATATAATCTACAAGCTTCTGCCCTCTCTCATTCCTAACTCATACCATGCTTTCCAACATATTTTTCATCATCCTCCCTTACGCTCACCTCTACACTGAAGGCAGTAAGTTTTAAAGTATACGATGATTTAATTGAGATAGTCTTATTAAATTCTTCATAGAAATTTTTCAGTCTTTTTGTCCTCTGAAGGTGATGTTGAAGCACTGTTGTTCAGTTATTTTCAGTCATGTCCTACTCATTTGGGGTTTTATTGGCAAAGACACTGGAGGGGTTTACCAAATTCTTGTCCAGACCATTTTACAGATGAGGAAACTGAGGCAACAGGATGCAGTGACTTGCCCAGGGTCACATAGCTAGTAAGTGTCTGAGGCTGGATTTGAACTAGGGAAGATGAGTCTTCCTGAGTTCAGGCCCAACACTCTATCTATTACTGTACCACCTAGCTGTCCCATGTTGAAACACAAGCTATAATTATTTTGGTGATGGTCCTTTTGCAAATTCTATACAAAATGACCAAATGTCTCATGAAATACTTCTGCAATGACACTCATCTCTTACAGCAGTCACCTACTCTTGACCTCATCAGCTCCTGCATAGGCCATTACAGCCACGTCCTCCTTTGTCTCTCTGTTTCCAGTTTCATCCCTCTCTGCTCCATCCTCCACACAGCTACCAAACTGATAGTCCTAAAACAGAGTGATGAGTGATCCCATCCCTTATCTTTGCAAAAATCTTTTGTGGCTCCAGACTAACTTGCAAAATTCTCATCTTGGCCTTTACAATCCTTCACAATCTGGCCCCAGCCTACCTTTCCAGGATGATTTCACATTACTCCCCTTTACATTTAGAGATCTAGTAGCTAATTTAAGGTTTACAGATGGGCTAGAAAATGTGACCCTTATTTAAAATAAATAAATAAATATACTTTAAAAATATTTCTATTAGAAATAAATATACTGTTAATATTATGAGACAGATTGTTTGGAATTGGTTTCCCATTATAGACTTTCATGAACATTAACTACTAATGAGATTCATTTAAATAAAGATTCCAACCTAATTACAATTTTTTGAGAGGTGAGGCAATTAGGGTTAAGTAACTTGCCCAAGGTCACACAGCTAGTAAGTGTCTAAGGCTGAATTTGAACTCAAGTCCTTCTCACTCCAGGACCAGTGCTTTATTCACTGCGCCCAATAACAATTTGGGAATGGTAGGAGATCCCTTTCCAGCTTCCCCTAAAAGCTATGCTAAACTGCCTCAAGAAGAAGGCAAGCCAGATATTTGAGATTTTAGGTTAGGGAAGTTTATGACCTTCCACTAAATTCCTACTCTGGTGCCATGGAAGTGACTCAAGATTCCTGAAGGCTGTTGGGGGATGGGGAGAGGAGAGAAACTATAGTAGGTGCTATCAAATTAGAAAGACTTCAGTTTGGAGCTTACAGATATATGTCTTGATCTTGGTTCAAAGAAATTTGGCCATCAGGCAGTTCAGCAGGGCCACCTCACAAAGACAGTGCCCTACAGCACTGAAGATTTCTGAGTTTCAGTCAATGGGAGAAGTACCAACTACAATGAAAATCACAGATACTCGAAGTACAAAGCTCATGATAAACTAGCATTAAGTTTTGCTGCTTTCTATACCAGATCCAACTGTGACCTTAACGTTCCACAAGCTCTAATCCTGACCTCCAGAGCCCTGAGCTTCAATAAGCCCTGAAGGACCAAGAGGCCTCAGAAGCCTCAATGTTCTTACAGAGTTACTCACAGATTTTCCTGCAGTTTGCTAGAATCTTGCTTAGTCCCCAGTTGGCTCATCAAATTCTTGATCTGAGCAGCTGGAAAAAAAGAAAAAGAGAAAGATTTTTAATGAGGTGATGGGTAAAGGAAGAAAGTGCATCCATCACAGATGCCCTATACTTCTCTTATTTATCTCTTCATACCTTCCCAAATGCTTATTTATGAGGAAGCATGCTGGGATCAAAACCTAGGAAAATCTATTCTAGTCCAAACTAATGACAAGGTAGCTTTTTCTCTCATAGTATAACTATATCCTTTCTAGACATGAATTGTATCCCCCAGACAAGAGGGGCACTGTTTTGTCACTATGAAGTAAGATTTCACCAACACTCTCCCAGACCCACTATACTTCATTTTACCATGGGTCAACTTTGCCAGGGACCTTATGATTCCAGATTTCAATGAGCACCAATATGATATCACTAGCTTGCCTTCCTCATCAAGTTTTGACTAAATCAGGGCTTCTCAAACTTTCTTCCACTCATGACTTCTTTTCATTTAGACAGTATTTGTTGACCATTGCGTGGCCTGAAGGCATACGCAGTTCAAAGTGTGCATGCTTTGTGTTCAGAACCAAGGCTTCAGTGATGCAACCCGGGCTAACACTGCCAGAAACACCTCGGATTCATTACATGTTTGATTTCGAATTAATTTTTGATCATTGTGCATTCAGAAACTTTTTACTGTTGCCTAATTTTTCACCATCCCACATGTTGTCATGACCCACAGTTTAAAAAGCACCAGCTGGACTAGATTCAGTATTCCTACTTTTTTTTTTTTAATGTCCTTCTTTCTACACTTATCTTTCCTGGCTTAATTTTACCCTCCTCAAGTCTCTAGATTTCTAGGGTCTAGAGCTTGATTTTTTTTTCAAAATAGTATGTATTTTCAGATTGTAATTTTTTTTTTTGTACAGTCCAACTATACAAAACTGGTGGAGTCCTTTAATGCTTCATCATGATATCATGGTGATTTTGGATTCTCAAAGGTTTTGTAAGTGAAGGATAAACCATTGCAGGTCCTATTCAAGCTGAAATGGCTTTTCACTTTGGCCCATTTGACAGACTGTTTGTCTGTCATCCAAGGACCAGTCTAGCTAACTTAAGAAGAGACTCATCACTCAGCTGGCAACAGGATAATGAAATTTTTGGCCACAGTAACTCTCAAAGACAATCTCCTGAGTTGTAGAGAGGTTGTAATCTGACAGATGGCATGGGAGTATCCATACCAATAAAAGCACAGATTTTGAAAAATGGTAGCATCTTAAAGTATAATGTAGTGACAGCTGGCCATGATATAAGAACACTTAGAAAGAAAAATTTCTGCACAGATCAACCATATTTTATCTTCATGTTACAACACAACTTTAAAACAGTCTTCCCCATCCTTTCTGGATTATTGTTAAAACTCCAGGTGGCTTAATGGGCAACTTGTGGGAGTGGTTGGAGGAAAGCAGAATTGAATGAAAAAAACGAGTTATATGGCACAATGGATAGTGCTGGACCTAGAGTCAGGAGGACCTGATTTAAATCCTGCCTCTGATACTTATTACCTTTGTGACCCTGGGTAAGTCACTTATTCTGTCTGCCTTAATTTCCTCATTTGTAAAACAGGGATACTGATAGCATTTATCTTCTAGACTTCTTGTGAAAATCAAATGACATAATATTTTAAAGTGCTTTGCAAACCTTAAAGTGCAATATAAATGCTAGTTATTATAATTCATGAATTAAATTAAAATTTCTGCTGCTACAAATTCATTTTATAGTTCAACATCCTTCAAATTTATAGAATTTGGGGTCACCAGGCCACTGATTTATACCTGATACTGTCATCAAGCTGAAGTGCCCAAATCCTTTCCTGTTGTCAAAAACATGCTAATTAATATCCATTAACGAGCAATACTTTGCTTTTTAGGGGGAAATCTTCCGTCTGAGATAAAATGTTATCTATAACAGCACCAATAGCTCCCTCCACGAAAGTTCTCCTTTGATGCTTCTTGTGGCTTCTAGAGGCTATGCTAGTGCATGCAAGCTCTGAGAGTTTCTACAGTAAGCTGAAAAGGCTCTGAGAATGGTCCCAGGCCATAAACTGTCTGATGGCCCAAGCCCAAGACAGGTAAAAAACAGAAATGACCATCATCAGTAGGCTGACCACAAAGAATGAATTATTTGGCGATTGTGACCCATGAAACAGGCAAAAAATATAAAACAACTCTTGGTTCTGTGTGGCTTTTTTCCAAGATGACAGAAAAGAACCTGTTATTTTAAAGTGTATGACACTTCACTGCTGATGCTTAACATTGAAATGTCTGTCCAATGACTGATTCATTACTGGAGGAACTTCCCACAACCATATTACCATTGTTGCTCTAAATGAAACAAGAAGGCAAACAGAAGCAAAGAGGAAGGACAGTTCACAGTATCTCCCCGGGGGCCAAATAAAGGAGCTAATGAGGTTGCTTTCATTGTGCTCCCAAAGGCATGAAGAAATAGCATTTCATGGGTCACTTGTTCATTGCAAGTAGTACCCAGGATGAAAGAGACAAACTAAGAAAAGTCTGACAAGATTCTCTCAATTAAATCAACATATACCTTGGTACTTGGTAAATTCAACTGAAGAGAGAAAGTAGTAAAAAATATTATTCAAAATTAAGAAATGAAAGTGTTTTAGTGCTTGATAATGCTACAAGAATGCAAATGGACAACAAATCCTTGCAGAAGATTCTGTATATAACCCTCTTCCCTTTCTTACCCAATGAGCCATCCCTTTAGTAATAAAGATTAAAAGAGAAAGAACAAAAATCAGTTTAGTAAAACTAGCCAACCTCAATCACATCTTCCAGTAGATGCAAACTATACCCTTCATCCCCCACCTCTGCAATGAAAGAAGAGAGATGAATTTTCTCAACTCTGGGACCAAACTTGGTTATCATCATTTCATTTGTTTCTTTTTGTTCTTTCTAGCTACACTGTTGTAGTAATTGCGCATACTGTTTTCTTGGTTCTGTTGGATTCCTCCAAAATCAGTCACACAAGTCTTCTCTGGACTCTCTGAATCCTTCCTATTTATTATTCGGAGCAATTTTTCATATTGTTGATAGTTTGCAATTCGTTTGAATGTTGTTCATATCCCCTCACTAATTACACAGTAGGAAAAGGTTCAAAAGATTTTATAGAGAAGAGACGGAGTATGCATACAGATTGGTAGTTGCTAATATCTTTCTCGATCATCTTTTTTGGGTAACAATATCACTCATGATCACCAATAATATCACCAATGACTCATTTTAGGGGGAAATTTTCCCTCTGAGATGTACTGAAATTAATATCTAGGAACAGCTGAACAAATGTGGTATAAAAATATAATGGAATATTATGTTATAAGAAACAATGAAGATGAAAGAGATCAGAAGATTTGTACAAACTGATAAACAGTGAAGAAGGAGAACAAAGAAAATAATGTGCATAATGACTACAATAAGGTAAATGAGATGAACACTAAAACAAAACTGAACACTGTAATTGCATTGGCTAATACTAGTCCCATGGAACAGATGAGGAAACCCTGTCTTCCAACCCTGCCTAGGCGCAGCTGGTGGCAATGAGTACCTGACCTAGAGTCAGGAAGACTGGAGTTCAAGTATGACTTCAGATACTAAGTATGTAATTCTGGGAAAGCCACTTCACCTCTATCTGCCTCAGTTTCATCAACTATAAAATGAGAATAATAATAGTATTTATCCTCCAGAGCTGTTGGGAGGATCAAATGAGATAATATTTGTAAAGAGCTAGGCACAGTGCCTGGTGTAGAGTAGGGCTTAACAAATGGGTGTTTCCTTCCCTTCAATGGAAAACTAAAAGACTATGGGTTTGATCACTGCTATTAGTTGGTCTGACTTGACTGCTTTTCTTTGCTATAAGGGAAGGCTCCTAGTTGAGGGTGGGAAGGTAAATAGAGAGGAAGGAGTACACTTGGAAATGAATATGATTTTTAAAAAACTTTTCTAAAAAAAGAAATAACTAATTGCTAATACATGACAAAACAAACAAACCATGAGAATGGTCTATCCAGTATAAGGGTATGCTTGATGAAATCATAAGAACGGTAAAACTATTTTCACAACAGAACACACCTTCATAATCTCAGACTTGATCAATAGGTACAGAGAACGTGAGATCTCATCTTTTTATTATTTGTTGGTTACGAAAAAGCAATGGACTCAGTCAAACAAAAAGAAGCCTCAAAGGCTCTCTTTCTATGAGTATCTTCTGTGCATATGTTAAGACTGCACCTTGACAGGTACAACCATGGAGATGTACAGAGGTGCTCTCAACAAAGTAGACATTGAAGGAGGCAAAAAATAGGACATACAGGCTCATAAAAGGGGTTCACTAGCACAATAGAGAATATTCTGGTCAGAGTCCAAATAGGAGAACGGATTTCTATAGATGGTGAGAGTCTCTTGTTTGAGAACAACATTGTGCTGATTGAAGGAAGCCCTTTTCCATATTATAGGGCTTCTTCAATGAGGTCTATGGTCACTTTAAAGAGATCAGCCTAGCAATTTACATAGGAAAAAACAACTGAAGGGTGAATGTAAATTGCCTAGATTATGACATACAGTTAGATAGGAAGCTCATTAGTACACACAGCTTGGGCAGGTACTACTGAAAAATAATTATTAGCTCCCAGAATTGAATAGGAAAAACAGAATCACCTGGATTCCATATAAGAAACTGGAGTGCTTTCAATGGAAATGTTATATGCCTGCAAACTATTGAGCCCAAGATGATTTCAGAAGAATCAAAATTATAGGTGACAAAACGGTAATGGAAAGATTCACGGTAGGTACATTATCAGCAATGACATATGCCAGAAGTGGCATAAAGCACATCAATATCATTTTGTTTTGTTTTTCTGTTGTTTTCAGTCACGTCTGATTCTTCATGATTCTATGGACCACAGCATACCAAAACTGTCCATGGGGTTTTCTTGGCAAAGATACTGGAGTGGTTTTCCATTTCCTTCTCCAGTT